AGCCACAGGAGCCTTTTTTATAACAGGTTTGAAAGCTGGCACTGTCCTCTTTCTGACGTGTGTAGCACAAAAACTGTAAAACCTACAGGAAAACCAAAGACAGCACATCGAAGCTGACAAAATAGCCTAACGAATTTGAGAATATCTTTAGTGTACTATGAAAGATGTGGTCGGTGGAAATTTTTGTTTCAAGATTTCATAAATCATGCTGTTAACAGTGCTCAGCTGCTCAGATGTCATGTCAGAGCTCTGAATGTCTCATCACCATTCAAAAACTGCTGCACCAGAGGGAGGACTGAGCATGCGCTGACGGCCGATCACCGGAGACACGGCAGCGTTTGAAGCAGATGGCAGCTCGTTAATCAACTTCCACAAACAATTAAGACTCATTTTTGCCTAATTTACTCACTGACAACACAAAAAAATTATAATCTGGTAAATATAACGCACTCAACCTGGAGGTAAGTGGAGACAAATTTAGAAAGTTTGCAAACATATATTGACGAGGTTTTTGAGTTTTTTGTCATGGGACCAAAGAAAGCAGGAGCAGCTGAGACAGAAACACCTGGGACCAAGAGGAGCCGCCCCCAGGACTCGCCCGAGGCCTCATCTCCCCGTATGGATGTCCTAGATTTACTACAGTCCATAGATAAACGGCTTCTGGGATTTGAGGGGCGACTCCACCTGCTAGAGGTGCTTCACAAGGAGTTCCAGGACTTCCGAACATCTCTGGAGTTTAGCCAGGAGCAGGTGGAGCGGCTCGCGGTTGAGAACATGTCTCTGCGGGAATCGGTTTCCTCCTTGACTGCAGGATTAGATCGGATCTCCCAGGACAACAAAGTTCTAAAGGAGATGGTTCTGGATCTCCAGTCATGCAGCATGAGAGAAAACCTGGTGTTCGCAGGCCTTCCAGAGCAGACCGGAGGAGAAGCGGAGGATTGCGAACAATCAATAAAAAACTTTCTCCACACCCACATGAAGATACCTGAGGAAACGGTTAAAAACATCACCTTTCATCGGGTACATCGCCTTGGAACCAGGAGAACAGACAGCAGAAGACCTCGTCCCATCGTGGCTAAATTTGAGCACTTTAAGCAGAAAGATCTTGTTAAAAGGCACGGGAGGAGGGTGCTCTGACAGGATGGTGGGAGTATCTAAAAATGACAGTGTCTTCACTAATACCATGCAGACGCACACCTATCTGGAATAATCCTGATATTTTGCTAAATAACCAAACGCTGAACCTTCCGGACTGTAAAAATAAAAGGGATCCTATACCTGGAACACATATATGAAGGATTGGACTTCATCCCATTTAATCGAATAGTCTCCCAATTTGAAGTAGATAAGAATAGCTTTTTAGAATATCACCAAATTAAATCTGTAGTCAAACAAAAATTTAAGCTCAATAAAATAGAATTACAAACACCACCACTTCTATAATCTCAACCCCCCCAAACTACTGTCTAAAGTTTATAAGAAACTGTCCAAAATAGACGATAAAATTGCAATCCCTATTGAAAAATGGGAGGTGGATCTATCAGTCAGCTTTGACCAGAACTTCTGGTCCCAAACTTGTTTAAAAACTTTTAAAATGATAAGACACTCCAATTTACAATTAATTCAGTACAAAATTCTACACAGAGTACACTATGCAGGTCATCGGATGTTCAAAATGGGGTTTGTGTCATCTGACACCTGTACACACTGCACAAACAAATTCCTGACAATTAAATTCATGCACTGTGGTCCTGCCCACCTGTCCAGGAATTTTGGGGTAGAGTATGTGAGGATCTGTCAAAATGTCTGAAATGTCATACCCCAACTTCCCCCTCTTTTTGTTTACTGGGAAACCTGGACGATGTCCCGATTGAAACATCTTTGATCACGTGGTTCTGACTGCCATATGCATCGCTAAAAAAACTATCCTTTTGAATTGGAAAAATAGAGAAACTCTCTGCATTAACCAGTATAGAAATCTTCTGTTAGATCATATTACACTTGATTTAGCCACTGCTTCCACTTCAAATCAATCTCTCTGGGCTCCTTTGATCGGTTCAATCACATAGCAATGATGGGGGACCATTGATATTGTCCTGCGGGATGATGTGGGTGAGGGGGTGGAGGGTCTGAGATTGGAGTATCCGGATGTTCCCTGGAGATGGGTTCACTAGGGGTAACTGGGACTGGGGGGCCGTTGCCCCCCTCTGAAGGTGCTTGGGTCGCCTCGGGGGGGTGGGGGTGGGGGGGTGGACTACTGGCGGTTGTGAGTGGGGCCCCTTGGAGGTCTTGACGACGGCCATGGGTCGCTGCCTGGCAGCTGCATTGCCCCTGGGCGGGTCTGGGTGGGGGCCTGGGGGATCAGGGTGCGGGGGGTGGCCGGCCCCGTGTGGGGATCTGGGCGGGGCCTTGGGGGTCGGGTCCTGACATGTATGCTGCCGGGAAGAAGGTAGGAACATGCAGCAGTGCCTGGCCAGGGTTCAGGGGCCTCGGGTAGACCTTGGCTCCTTTGCTGTCCCATCACAGTGGAGGGGGAGGTCCTGGAGGGGGAGGACCCAACCTTACCTGGATGTCCTATGTCTTATATATTCTGGAAGTTGTGCAAATGCAGGGATGGGCGTAGATATTCTGCTGGGGTGGGGCTGGGTTGGTGCCCTCGGACTCCGTGAGGCTCTGCAATGCTGCTGCTTTGGGCCCTGGCAAGATGGGCTGGGGTCTCCATGCCCTGGGTGGCATTTTGACAACAGAGGTGTCTATTGGGGCCAGTGAGGGAGCTGGCTCCCTGGAGGGCTAAGCCCAACCAGCCATTCCTCCCCATCCCTGCATATTTTTCTCCTCCTGCTCCCTCACATCATCACACAAACATGCACATAGGACCTTGGGGGGTGGACAAGTCAGGGGGTGCGGGTATGGACCCCATTTCTGCATTCCTGTTGCAACCTGCCCCCAAATTTTATTTGCACCTTAAACACTCCAACCAATGACATTTCACGCAAACACACACTTAGGGCCTTGGGAGTGAGCACATTCAACTGCATTTGGCAGGGGGATTTTTCAGCCTCACCCCGAGTGCCGGTGCCCACTTCCAATTTTAAACTGCACTTAGACACAGAGGGCTGTGGGTGCAAGTGGGGTGGTGTAGTGGCATCAGCTGGCAATATTCGGTTCATCACGCAGGATCTTAGTACGCCATCGAATAGGTGAAAAGAATGGTTCCACAGTGTGAGGGATCAACTGTCAAACATGGAGGAGGAAGTGTGATGGTCTGGGGCTGTTTTGCTGGATCCAGGTCAGTGACTTGTACAGAGTGAGAGGCACCCTGAACCAAAACGGCTACCACAGCATTCTCCAGTGCCATGCAATACCCTCTGGTATGGGCCTAGTTGGTCAAGGGTTCATCCTACTGCAAGATAATGACCCAAAACATAAGTCCAAGCTATGCCAAAACTACCTCGGGACAAAAGAACAAGATGGTAAGCTTGTAAACATGGAGTGGCTAGCACAGTCTCCAGACTTAAACCCCATGGAGCTGGTTTGGATGAACTGGACAGAAGAGTGAAAGCAAAGCAACCTACAAGTGTAGCGGAGGCAAATCAATGATTTTTAATTGTTATGACCAGAAAGATGTGATATTCTATATAAATATAAAATATTAACCTGCTAGGTCTTTATTGTAGTTACTCAGAAGATTCTAGGATTTAATTCAGAAGATCTAGGTTCTTTGCTTTTTCAGTGATGAACCACACTTCGTGTTATTTCAAGAAAGAGTCAGGGTTATAAAAGTAAGAATTTATTTTACAAACAATTTTAAACATGACTAACTAACTAAGCATTTACTGTGAGTGAATGTAACTTAACATGATGAAGGAACCTATGTGTGAATGCGTTGTCAGTCAGAGCTTCCTTATCAAAGTAAGCTGAGTTCTGGTGAAAAGAATTTGGTTTGCTCTAAGCTATAAAGTTGTTATCATCAGAAGCACATCAGACGCTATCTGTCATGTCTACTTTACCTGTTTTGGAGAGACCCTCTTGGTGGATCCGAAAGTCGCAGGGGTCGGCTGACCTCTGGCACCGGAGGGCTGTAGAATACCGTGGTATCGACTCTTCAGTCCAGAGATGTCTCGGGTCACAACAGCTGGATGGAACCGTGCGTCTGGCGGACTCTTAACTGTTTTCTCATCAGCTTTGCAGGTGCAAAAAAGGTTTTGACGACGTGTCAAAATCTTTGATGGTTAAAGAGGTTTACTACAGGTGGCCGGTCTGAGCAATTCTCTAGAACTGTCAAATCACTCAGGATGATCCAGTTTTAAGGTTTTGATGTTATGATTTGCACAGCCAATCAAAGGCTGACAGCTTGGGAGATGTTACCAAGACAACTCAGAAAAACGCCTTCTTTGATACCGGATTATCTGACTGGTTAAAAGGGCAAGTTATGTGTTGGAGATTAATTTAACCATACCCAGCAGTTTGTGGATCAAATCCCGATTGGACCATTTTTTTTTTATATCTGCCACAGATCTCTCTGAAGAACTCACAACATTGACAGCTTCAGCAACGCTGTGCCACTCCGTTCCTTGATCTGCCTTGATCTACGGTTGCCATCGTTAATGGCGGAGCGCTGCAACAGCCGGCTTATTGTATATGCATGAGATCCACAAGGCACTTTGCATTGACTATTTATGGCAGTAAGTGGGCGTGGTGAGGGCGGGATGTGACTAAAAAGCAGCTGAGAACCTGTCTAGATAGTTTCTGATTTATGAAGCGGAGATTGCGTGCAGCTGTGCGTACTCCATGTTTGATAGATCACAAATCTATTTTTTTTTGCTGAGCTTCAGTACGGTTTTAGTAAGGATTCTACGCAATGTTTGATAAATGAGACCCCAGGTCAGGGACACGAGTTGATCAGAAGAGGTGGAGTCCTAGGCTCCATATGTCATCACAGACTATCAAAGTTTTAGCTAAAAAAAATCTGCTGGATAAAAAAAAAAAAAAAGTCTGTACATGATTGCACATTTTTTCATTTATTTGTTATTGTGAGAATGGTTATTTGGTGTTGCTGGAGGTCCTTCAAATCAGATAAAACAGTCAGAAAAAAATACAGACAGGACCTTTAACAGCTCATGAGGTTTATCAAATAAAAACAAAAAGCAATGTGATTGACAGGACTAATCTCCAACCTATGTTTCCTGCAAAGAGGAAATTATCTGTCAGCTCCAGAGTTCTGATGACCAGTCTCTCACTTGATGAGTGTAAAATGTCATTTTCCATAATCCCCTGTTCTCTGGCTGGTTTTGAGCTTCTTGCGGGCATCTTTGTGCTTCTTGCGGTATTCCTGCACACAGACAGAAAACAATAAAATAGCTTCCATGAAAACTAACATAAAGCAGATTATTTCTTCACCAGGTGAGTGGAAAAGTGGTGTTACTACAAAACCAGCTCCTCCTTAGTGGGAGGAGTCTGTTTCATCAGACATAGTTTGATTGTGTCGATTCTGTTGCATGACTCCGCCCTTTAAGCCATGCCTGTTGGTTTGTTCACAATAACCAGACCTATCGACTGAAGAGCTTTTAATGTATGCTTGCCTATCAGGTTTGGTCCTATGAAAGAGATTGGAGATCTTAGTTCATCTCCCAATTCTCTTCATGCCACCTTAATGACTAGAGCTACCTCTCTTTAGTGTGTTTTTGTCCGTAATCCATTTTTTTGGTTCTTCAGGGTTCTTGCAGGTTTCAGTAAGTTAAATTTAGGACCTTTTGCAACCTTTATGTGCGAAATTTAAGACCACCACGACAAATAAATAGCAAAAGTCAAATAGTCCTAAAAATTCAAGGCCTGGAGGCTTCACTGACTCATTTTGTGTTGCTCCAACTTGGCGGTTCCCCCGCACGTGTACCCACATAATCGTTACTGAACTGATATTGGCGCAGAACGTGATTTTGCATCTCGCCTCCATTTTTTGGGGTCAATACGTGTTGATTCACACAGACAACAAAGTCGCTGTGGTTAACATAAACCGTCAAGGCGGGGTTCGCTCAGCCTCTTTCCTGTTCGTGGCCAGAGAGCTGCTGTGCTGGGTTCATGTGAATCTTCTGTCGTTACTGTCCACCAGGCATGAAATGGCCTTCTGGCGCACTGGGCATTGCCCGGTGGGCCGTTGCGCTTTTTTGGGCCGGTGAACAATCACACGACAATAAATCACAGTGCATTAAGTGCCCACCATAGCCTTAAGACGTGTTGAACGTGCCCAAGTCCATACTTATGAGAGCACCATGTGAGCACCTGTGTGTGTACACACGCTTGTTTATGTAAGGTTTCTCTATAGGAGCGTCCAATAGAGAGTGTGAGGGGCCACAGATCTGCCCCCTAAAGATGTGCAGTAGACGTAGGAAGCTCCAAGTCCCAGAGATCCAGGAGCTGCTCAGAGCACAGGAACTCCAGGGAGACTGCAACTAGAAGAGCCCCCGCTCCCCTCGAGAGGCGCAGAAGATCGCCCCGCGGGTCCACAACCAGCAGCCGGCAGTGTCCCGGGAGATATCGGCGGCAAGCCCACAGGCCCGCCCGCAGCCTCCCACCCCCTCGCCGGCTGACCCGGGACCCAATGACCCGGGATCCAGGGGCGATCACCCCCGCTGGGGACCCAGCAGAGCCCAGGGACCCAGACCCCACCAGGCAGCCACCGGGATTGGTCAGGCAGATGCCAAAAATCTTAAACTCTCTGACCCGGGAGCCACGACCCGGGCAGACCAAGGCACAGCACTCCACACCAGGTGTGGCAGAGAGAGAGGAGATGAAGATCTATATCATCAAAAGAAGGAGAAGGAAGGAGTCAAAGGCCCCACCTGACATATACAGTCATACACAAACACAGTCACACACTCCCTCCTTCGTGTTCACACATACACATACAACCAAAGATTTACAAAAATGCATGCCGGACACCCACTCATGCGCCCCATACACACCCTATTCACTCTGGTCCCAGTACTGCTGCACATGGGGTACAACCATTACCAGTTCCCAGAGTTCGACCCTTTCTGCTGGGGTGCTGATGAGCAGGCTCCCCTGCCCAACGCTGAGCACAGCAACCCACCACCCCAGACCCCAACCGGACAGCCAGATCTCCCTCCTAGCCTCCAGCCCCAGGATGCCAAGCGACAACAGAGGTGTGCTAAGACCCCTACTCTCCCTCCACCTGCTCCAATATGGTGTTAGTGAGTGTTGATGAGGTGTATTCCATGGCTGTGGTGAGCGGGCAGTGCGGGCATCGTCTGGCCTATGCCAGCTGATACCACCACACCACCCCACTTGCACCCACAGCCCTCGGTGTCTAAGTGCAGTTTAAAATCGGAAGTGGGCACCGGCACTCGGGACGAGGCTGAGAAATCCCCCTGCCGAATGCCGTTGGATGTGCTCACTCCCAAGGCCCTAAGTGTGTGATTGCGTGGAATGTCGTTGGTGGAAGTGTTTAAGGAGCAGATGACATTGGGGGGGGGGGGGGCTGACTTGTCCACCCCCCAAGGTCCTATGTGCATGTTTGTGTGATGATATGAGGGAGCAGGAGGAGAGAAATGTGTGGGGATGGGGAGGAATGGCTGGTTGGGCTTAGCCCTCAAGTTCAGAGCAGGACAGAATGGGACTCAGCTAAGCAATGTTCCTGAGATGGAAGAAGGAAGAGCGAACAAAATAACTGACATGAGAATCCAGGGTGAGAGCTGGGTCAAAGGTCACACCAAGATTCCTGACAGAAGGGTTGGTGTGAGAAGCAAGCTGACCAAGAGAGTCTCTGACTTTGAGAACCAGCTTGTCTGGGGCACAGATGAGGAACTCAGTCTTATCTTCATTCACCTGTAGAAAGCTCCCAGCCATCCAGGTTTTGATAGAGTCTAAGCAGGTGTGTAACAGCTGCAGCTTAGACATCTCATGGGGCTTAAAGGAGATGTACAGTTGGATGTCATCTGCATAAAGATGGTAGGATATTCCTTTGAAGGAGCTCAGGATGTGCTGAAGAGGAAGCAGATAGAGGAGGAAGAGTAGAGGCCCCAGCACAGAACCTTGTGGGACACCATGGGTAAGAGAGGTGGTGGAGGACCTAAACTTGGAGACGGCCACAGAAAAGGAGTGCTCAGAAAGATAAGAGCAGAACCACTCCAGAGCAGTTCCTGATAGGCCTACCCAGTCTCTCAGCCTCTCCAGTAGCCGGTGATGGTCAACAGTGTCAAAGGATGCAGTCAGGTCCAGCAGGACCAGAACAGAACAGTCCCCTGCATCACTGTGAGTCAGAAGGTCATAAGAAACCCTAAGAAGAGCTGTTTCAGTAGAATGAGCTCTACGAAAAACTGACTGGAAGCTATCATAGATGTTATGTTCATCAAAAGCAGCTGTGAGTTGTTTAGCCACAACCTTTTCCAAGATCTTGGAGATGAACGGAAGTTTAGAGACGGGTCTGAAGCTGCTATGGAGAGAGGGGTCGAGACTCGGTTTTTTAAGAAGCAGGTGGATTACAGCGTTCTTAAAGTAAGCAGGGACCTGACCAGAAACCAGAGAAGCATTAATTATAGAGAGCACGCTGGGACCGATGGACTGAAAAGCACTTTTAAACAAAGATGAGGGTAAGATGTCGAGGAGGCATGCAGAGGTCTTCATAGAGTTAACTAGTTTGGTTAACTCAGGCAAAGAAACAGGAGCAAAGCTATCTAGGATGATGGGCCTGGTTGGAGTCGGGAGAGGCGGCGATAAGGCTGAAGGAGAGATGCTAGATCTAACCTTATTGACTTTGTCCACAAAGAAAGACAGAAAGTTCTCACAGTCTGCAACAGAGTGGATGGAGGCTGTAGGAGAGGCAGGAGAGACGATGCTGCTGATGGTGTTAAACAGCACCTTGGGGTTCCCTTTGCTCTGGGACACCAGGTTGGAAAAATAGGAAACCCTGGCGTCTCTGACTGCAGAGTTAAAGGATGTCAGAAGATCCTTTAGGTGCAGCAGAAGGACGTGGAGATGGGTTTTCTTCCACAAGCGCTCAATTTTTCTGCATTGGCGCTTTAGGCTGTGTTCACCTTCAGACTGGCTCTGAATGCAACCAACCATTCTTTCAGTTTGACACATTAGGGCACATTTGGAGTGAAGGTTTGAACTTTCCAGATGTGGAGTTGACATGCATTTCCTCTTTTTGTGGTGAGTACACTGAATAGTGCTTATTTTAATTCTAGAAGAGACTGTATCAGAATAATCTAGAATGGTAACGTCAAACTCTGCTTTCCTCCCGAAGGACCATGCAGCCATTTTTCTCAGTACAAAACAAGCTATAATCTCTCTTTTCACATATACATTATTCAAACTACATTGACTGATCTTTGATCTTTCTTTTCTGACTGCCTATCCTGGTATCTTTATCTTTTTTCTCAGTTGCTGCTTTGATGAATAGCTCTTAATTTCACATGGATATGTGCTCTTTTCTTGAAGGCACAAAAAAGTTTATATTTGATTAAAAACTGGAGAGACATCTTTAGCAGTGTTTCTTTGACTTCCACTTTAACTTCAAGATTTGTGACACTGTGAACATTCTCCCAAGAGTAAAGGCTCTGTGAGTAGTATAGGCTACTGCACTTTATTTAGATTTTTAAACTACACAGGGTGCGGGAAATATATCTTGGTATGCCATGTGCCTTTTCAGATAGTATAAATAATCATGGTGGGCCGCCACGGGCGAAAATGCCAGGGCCGTTTTTTGTTCCCAGTCCAGCCCTGCTGTCCACTGTATTGAAATGTGAGATTATTTATTATAATAATGTTTTTTCAATAATTACTTTATTTATTTAATATGGTGAGTGTCATCGTATAACATATCTTGTCTCACCGCAGTGTGAGTGTAGCATCTGAGCCCGGTGGCACCACCAGCAACAAAAACTAAGACTTTTATTTATTTATTTTTTCTAATCAGCTCCAGGTTAAAGTGAAATGCTGTTTATCACATAATGTTATAAATCCAGCGGAGTGAATTCTGTCGACAAGTCGACAACTTGTTTACATTGTTGAACAGCAGCTGGGTGGATACAAACCAACGTTCATAAGCTAGCTAATAACACTAAACGTCTGTAAACACTAGGAATGCACTAAAACGAATATTCCTGGTCAAAAATTACGTAATAATTAGAACCACAGTATTTACGGCTACAATGTCTCCAAATCTCAGCAGAACCAAGGCATTGCAATAAATCAGTGACAAAACTATGATAATATTCATTTAGCACTGACATAACAACAATGCAAAACATAAATTTAAAATTAAATGTTTCACTTGAATGCGTTTGTGTGCATAAGCTGCTTCACTACTTTCTCATTACGCTCAAAACAAACTAGTCCTGCATTAAAACGGTGATCGTAATAAAACAACATCACTGAGAGGGGAAAAAACATTACCTGCTAAATCTGTACAAATGTACCATTTTACGAGGCAAAGAGCAAGATGTTACATGAAGGTGGAATGAGATTAAATGAAAACGGGGTACACCTGATGGCCAGTTTCGGCTGTGTTGTTTCAGTGATTTAGGCAGTTCGGCCAAAAACTGAAAATGAGCTCGGGGTCATTTCAGTGGCCAAATTTTCGGTACACCCCTAGTAAATACTGTTCTCTATGAGCCCCACCTAGTTGTGCCAAACCTTCCCACAAGTGAACTGGGCTTGAACCAGTAAAAACCAGGCTGCACCCTCAGTCGCCACAGTTCCTCTCTGTTCAATACTCCTGCAATTGGCTGTTACCCCACCTAGGTCTGCTACTTCTGATAACTGAACTGGGCTTGAACTAGTTGAAGCCGTGCTAAACAGCAAAAAATGACAACAACCACAAAAAACAAATGTCAGGCGCTACGTTTCAATTTGTTCAATACTCGTTTCACTCACTCTGCTTTTGCTTTCCAATATGGTGGACCCATGTGATCAGGTGGTGTAGGTGCAAAGGATGAACAGGGACCCTAAGGCATGCCCATCTACTTCCAGTCCATGGGTAGCCTATTGGCAATCCAGATCCCATTTGATATGTTCCATGGATTTAACATGAGATGCCCGTGGATTTTAGACACACTTTGATGCAACTGATGAGACTTTAGGTTTAGTGTGAAAAAACGTTAACTCATGCACTGCCAGCCGCTTCCTGATCGATAAAGCCCTTCGGTGTCAGTGTTTTCAATGTTTTTTTAAAGAGTCACAGAATGTTGCGTGCTATGATGATGTCGAAGTGAAAACAATCAAAACAAAGCAGAGACTCACCTCTTACATCAGGAACAATCCGCGCGTTTCGAGCGTTATCCTCTTTCATAATCTTTCATAATCTGTTGTTGAATTGTGATCGGCAGACACTTTTCTGGTTCGCGCCTCACTTTTTTTACAGCAGCGGCCCAAAACGTTTAACTTCAAGCTCTTGGAGAGTGCAGACGCTTTTTTCCCCTCTCCCTCCCTCTGATCCCAAGGCTCTTTGTCCTGTCTTGTGTGCACGGCGCTTCTGCATTCTTTCTGGAAACTGGAAATTATTAAAAATGGATCTGGTCAGCTGGTCACTCAACGCGATTGACAAAATTTTCTCAACGATGAGAACAGGAGAAGGGGCTCTCAGATGCCCCTCTGGGACAGAGCCAGCTGGGTATATCATGGACTCCTGGAATCAGTGGAACCTGATCTGCCTCTCTCAACTGACTGTAGAGGATTCTGAAGATATCTGGATATTCGTGGTGTTGGTGTCAGGATTCCTGCTGTTTGGCCTGAGCGGTTACCTGGCTTACCGGAAAATTAACGAGCTATCGAGGAATATTGGCTCTTTCCCGGAGCTCAGAGATGGAATGCATCGCGCTGTGAATGCACAAACTCATATAATTGTCGAGAAGAGTCGTAAGCTTGGAACTTTAGCTGAGATTCAGGCTCTGACAACGAAGGTGGATTCCATCAAGGACAAAGTTGTGGACAGATCAGCACGAATTAGGATAGATTAATTACGCCAATATTGGATCTAGAGGGGTTGATGACCAACAGAACTCTAAGGCAGAGAGGAAATTATCTCTGTCTGTCTCCATAACAATCCTTATCTGAATCTGGTGCCCTTGGAGCCTGTGAGGCTGAAGTAAAAACTCCCCCCATGCTGCCGTCTCTAGGCAACTCTTTCTCCCCTCTCCCAGCCTGGGCGGGACTGTGACCGGTGAAGGCCGTGGAACCGTATTCTAGGAGTCGCTGTGCTCTCCAGCCCATTATCTCCCTCCCCTGTCCAAACGGAGGTGATGAGCGCTGCCCCATGCAGCTGCACGCACCTAAGTGAGGAGAGTCCCAACCCTACCTCCCCACCTAGTGGACACTTATCTTGTGTAATGTCTTAAGTGTGTGCATATCTGTCTGAGGTGGTTTTTTTGCATAGCAAAGCTACCCTCTCGGGTGAGAGTAACTCTGAAGTGACTTTTTTTCCCTTTCCCCCGACTCTATCCTCATATAAACCCTCTTGATCTATTACGGTAGCGCGACTCGTGTTGCGAATGACCACAGTCCCCAATTCCTGTCATGTGTCTATGTATGTATGTCTGATCTCAGAATTGTGTGTACTGAAACTCTAATTTCCCTCTGGGATTAATAAAGTATTATCGAATTGAACACATGGATTTTCTGCGTCCTGATCACGTGACGTGTGACGTACGCGGATGAAGATCAGCTTTAGAGCTGGGATGTTTGTTCTCATGGTGCGGGGGCTCGTTCCGATGCCCACACAGTAAAAAAATGCAAATGGCAGTGAATGAGTTAAGGACTACAAATGTACATCTCATCAATTTGACGTCATCAAACCAGACATGAAGAAGAAAAATGGCTGTGAGTTTAGTGAGCTTCACATCTTTCTTGCAGGATGAACCTGGATGGTTCTGACTTCACAGGGCGCGTTGTGCACGTCATGTGTTCTGCGCATGCGAGCTGCTTTAGAGCCGTGAACCGTTCACACTGGAGAGTGTTTGCTGCCGCGTTTCAGTCACACAAGAAAATCTGATTCTATCAAAATATCTATTTTATCATTAAGACCTGCAGTGTGAACGTAGCCTTAGCTTCCTATTAACCTGGGAACCATGTGACCCAGGTTAATTTACCCAAAACAAAGCCTTTAAACCCTGACACACTACAGAGACAGGAAGTCATGTACACCTGTCTGAGCTCGCTCCGCCTCTCCTCCCACTGCTCCCTTTGCTCTTCCAGCTGGGAGGTCCGACAGAACACCCTGGGCCCTTCTGGAGCACAAAACAAAAACCTATTTTAGCTGATTAAATCTTAAATAAAATAAAAACATTCAATAAAACAAACCTGAAAAGCAAAAATGACCCACCTTTCAGTCTGCAGTCATCAGGATAGAAGAAGAATAAAGTAGGCTCATGGGGAGCTTCCTCTCTATGAGCAACAAACAAACAAACACACACACACACCCCTGATTAAATCGTACAACAATATTTTTTTTACACTATTGTTCAGTTTCAGCATTTTTAATCCCAGTTTTCCTGCCTTTTGGGTGTAAAAGCTCAAAGATCCAAACAGTAAAAGGAAAAGAGCAACCTCCCTTAGGATGTATACATTTACAGGATTATGTTAAGAGGAATTCTTACTCCTCAGTTTTAGCAGTGATGCCACTTTGCTCCTCCTCCTCCTCCTCCTCCTCCTCCTGCTCCTCCTCCTCAGAGCTGCTGTCATGGAAGTGTGGATTTTGGTGCCAGGAGACCTTTGGACCCTGGATCTTCTCTGCTTTGTACTCTGCTGATAGAAAGATATCAAACAGGATTAAAATAATTCACCATCTCTCAGAGACAGACTTAATTCTTCTCACCCATCTCTCCCGTCATTGTTCCTGCTTCATCTCTAAAGAAGGAAAATTTAAAACCAGCGGGTTCTTCTGTGGCGTTGCTTGGATCAGCTAAGAGGAGCGATGATAGCGGCGGGTCTTCCTGCCTTTTCCCCAGGTCTTTTACTTGATCCCAGCTTGTTTTGTCCCCATCACCAACCTCATCCTTCATCTGACCAAACATGGCCTTCATGTCCTCAGACACGTCAAAGTAAATCTCATTAGAAACCTCAGGAAGTTTCTGAGCCTCCTCCAATTTCTTCCTCCGGGCTGCTTTGCTGTAAAAACACAGGTCACATGTTAAAGAGTCAGAGGGGACGTATGACTCCCCCACCTCACATGTTCGACCTGCTAGAAGCAGACATCTAGCCTGGCAAGCCAGACTAAATACATGTATTATTTAGTCTGGCCACGCTCCATTGACGGCTCTCGGTTGTGGGGCGGGTTCTACCGTTGTCTTTCAAATGATCTCCGCATTCCACTGGACAATGAATGTGACATACTCTTGTTTCACTCTGTTGCATCATCCCACCCACCAGGCATATAGAGTGCCCTGATTGGCCCACAAAGCGGATAAAGCTCTGTGATTTGTTCACTAAGCAGATAGAACACTATGATTGGCCCACCATTATGGACCAATCACAGCTCTTTATGTGTTTGAAACCCCTCTAGAGAGCTGTGATTGGCTAGCCAGAGTCCTGGTAGGAGCTGCGGAGGTTCCAATGGAGCGTGCTTAGACCAAACTTTGCAAAGCAAGAATATGGTCTAGTTCACTAGGCTAGCAGACATCAGCAGCAGCTTAGGATCTTGCATTGTATGTGCTGATGAATAGAGATCCAGTGGAGCTTTTGTAGAACCAGGATTAAGTGATGTCAAGTGCTGGCAAACGGCGAAAACCCGGGCAGCTGAACGTATTGCAGTTTTTTAAATATGTGGAAGGAGGACCAAAAGCTGCTTCCACATCTGGGTCAGTACCATACAGGCTGGGTAGCTTATCTTCAGAATCAGAAGGTTTTATTGCCACGTGTGCGAGAAATCACAACATTGGGAAATTGCAGCTCAGTACCAGACCTGTATGACGTCACTAGTTACTAAAGAGCCAATCAGCTGGCAGAGCTGCTGGTGAACGTGTGAGCGTGCAGAACTTGTTAAACTACGTGACTCAATTTAAGGACAAAAGTAGAATCCAGCTGCTGTTATTTATTTGTTGTTGTTGCTTATAGAAACTAAATCTGTCTGCAGGGCTTTAGGCCCAGGGCGGAGTTTTAGACCTCAGGCCAAACCACATCCAGGGTAGTTGATTTCATAGCCGTGGCGCTAGAACTGTATGAATTCAAAACCCTATGTAGGGGAACCACTGTTAAATCACAGTTGAGGAACATTAGTCATGGTGTCCCTCAGGGATCAGTTCTCAGCCCAAAACTTTTTAACTGTATGTAAATTATTTCATGAATGTATCCCCGCAACTTGGGAGCTTATATTTGCTGCTGATACATCTTTGTTTCATTCAGGGTCTAAAATTGATGAAGGTATCAAAGTGATAAATGATGAGTTAATGAAAATCACAAACTGTTTTGACATAAATAGGTTGTCACTCAATCTTAAGAAGACTAATTTTATGCTGTTTAATGACAGAGGTACCAATGTATCATTGAAAATGGATGTATGCAACTCGAGAGGGTAAAGTAAATCACAGTTTTTGGTGTTATGTTTGATGAAAATCTTTCATGTAAACCACATATTATACACATTAAGGGTGAAATAACCAGGGCCATAGAAGTGTTACTGAATAATTCTAGAATGTTAACTCTATAACGCACTGGTTACACCATATCTGATGTATTGTGTGGAGATTTGGAGTTCCACATATAAAACGTATACTCCACCACTGTTTGTTTTACAAAAAAGGGCCTTAAGACTCATTAACTGTTACAATGATCACTCTAATCCATTATTTATACAATATAAAGGGCTTAAATTTTATGATATCATCTAAAAGCAGCAGATTTACTCAGAAAAACTAAATTTAGAAGCAAAGAGTTCAGTATTAATGTCCAAAGAGTAAAATTATGGAACAAGCTAAGCACGGAGACCAAAGCTGCAAAATCCCTTAGTGTATTCCAAAGATGTAATAAATGAAGTTTGTCATAACTATAGCAATACAAGATTTATTTTTTTCCCTTTAACAAGGCTTGTTAAAGAGATAAAGGATAATTTATTCATTATGTTGTCATATGGTTGATTAGCAGACTAAGTCCAACAGTTAGTTTATTGAAAGCTCTTTGTAAATAATTAACCGGACGTAGGGAGAGCTTCATAAGAGGTCTTCTTCTGTCTGCTTCTTTTCATTCACAGATTATGTTATTATTTTATGTTTATTATTTTAATTCTCATTTTGTCTTTTTTTGTTCTTTGAATGAAATAAATATTTTAAACGGTGGATGCGTGACTAAAGCTGCAGATCCATATTGGTGTGGTGTACCTAGCCAGGACCAAGCCGCTGGTGTCGTGGGCTCACTTGGAGACCATGCTTTTATTGCTTCTCATCTAGACTACTGTAACTCCACCTACTCAGGAGTTAGCAAGGCTCGGCTCCAGCTGGCACAAAATGCTGCTAATAGATTCCTGACGGCACCAGAAAGCGGGAACATATCACATCTGTCCTGGCTAATTTGCACTGGCCTCCGGTTTCTTTCAGAGTCGAGTTCAATTGACTTGTTTTTGTTTTTAAATCTCTGCAGGGTTGTGCTCCGCACCATGTTTCTGAGTTACTCGCCCGATACATCCCATCACATTCTCCAAGGTCACCACAGCAAGACTAGTCGTTCCAAGGCTTTCTGGGTTTTGGCCCCCAAGCTGTGGAATGACCCTCCATTTGCAGTAGGACAAGCGCCATGCGTTGTTTAGAGCCTTGGGGGGTGGTAGAACCCTAAGAAGGCGCTCTATAAATACAGGCCAGTTACCATCATCATCATAATCACCACCAGTGTTGGGACTGCTTCTCCTGTGGTGCTCTTCTGATGGAGCGAAGTCAGAACCACTAGACACGGTTGTTCTACTCTCAGAATAATAAAACCAGACTCATACTATTGCAGATGAAGTCCATGCCGATACCTCTCTATCTTGGTTCCATCCATTTTGGTCTCAAATGCAGCGTGTTCCTCTCTGCTGGGGTCGTAATGCAGCCTGGACAAGTCTCTGCAAAGAAACAGGTTTAAACTCTCACATCACCTCTAAGGGACTACAATGTCCCCATTAATCTGTCCGTGGTCACATCCAGCAGAATGGTACTGCTGCCCTCTGGTGACAAACCTAAGAGCTGCAGGTAGAAAGGGTCCATTTAATCACCCATTATCATTATTAACCTTTAGTTTGTTCAGCAGCTGTGGAGTTTTCTGACATTGTGACCTGACCTGAACTTTGTGGTCTTGCTGGCCAATTTCCTGCTGGTTTGTTGCACGTTTTGAAGAACGCTCTGCAGAATGGATAGGTTCTTCTCCCTCTCCCCCTCCAGATCCTCCTCCTCCCCTTCTGCTGGGCTCCTATTTGCTTCTGAAGGTCATGCACATGTTTTAGACAAGCATCAGATCAGGCAGCAACTATACCTTCTAATATCAGTGAGCTGAGTGGACAAACCTCTGCTCAACTCAAAGCTAATTCTTCACAACAGGACACTTTCACTAAAACTCAAAATATTCAGAGAAGTTAAATTAAACTGTAAATGCTGAATAACATGTGAGTGCTACAACCCCCCAAGGTGCTTTACAGCACAGCAGTCATGAGCCACAGTGGGAGGATTCCTGCTTAAGAGTCCCACCCAGATGCTTTCAAAAGTTTCATAAGGTGAGTAAAAGGGAACCTTAGAAGAGGAGGACCTGTGGCCTCCAGGTGAACTGTTCAGGTAAACTTAAAACACAGCTGCTCACCTTTCTCCTCCTCATCCTCCTCACCACCTTCCAAAAAGCGGGAGTCCATTCTGAAACGTTCATCTATCCCAAAGCGCGATTGCAACGCCATCAGCTGTAGGGAATCATACATGATGGGGTCAGGGTCCGATTCAGAGACGATTTCTAATTCAAATTCAAAGATACTTTATTAATCCCAGAGAGAAATTAGAGTTTCAGTACACACAATTCTGAGATCAGACATACATACATAGGCAAAAACAAAGACACATGACAAAAATTGGTGACTGTGGTCATTCGCAACCCGAGTCGCGCTACCTTAGTAGAGATCAGAGGGTTTACATGAGGATTGGATCAGGTGGAGGGAAAAAAGGCACTTCAGAGTTTCCCTCCACAGGGAGGGCAGCTTTGCTCTGCAAAAAACACCTCAGACAGAAATGCAACAGACTTCAGACATTACACAACATAAATGTCCACTAGGTGGGGAGGTAGGGTTTGGGACTCTCCACACGTCAGTGAATGCAGCTGCGATAAGCAGCGCACGTCACCTCAGTCTGGACAGGGTAGGGAGGTCGTTGGGTTTAGAAAGCACAATGACTCCTTGCACGATTCAGCGACCTTCACAGCTCGCAGTCCCCCCCAGGCTGGGATAGGGAGACAGAGTTGCCATGGCGACAGCAGCATTCCGCATTTCTTCTGAGGGAGTATTCGTTTCAGCCTAACAGGCTCAAGGGCACCAGATTCAGCTAAGAAATTGTTTAGGGGCCAGACAGAGATAATTTCATCTCTGTCTTAAAGTTCCGTTGGTCCTCAACCTCTCAAAATCCAATAATGGCGTAAATTAATCTATCCCAATCTATGCTGATTCGTTCACTCACTCCTTGATGGCATCCATCTTTTGTGTCAATGCATGAATCTCAGCCAAAGTTCCAAGCTTACGACTCCTCTCGACAATTATATGAGTCTGTGCATTCACAGCGCGGTATAATCCATCCCTGAGCTCTGGGATTGAGCCAATATTCCTCGACAGCTTGTTAATTTTCCGGTAAACCAGGAAACCTCCCAGGCCAAAAAGCAGGACACCTGACACCAACACCACAAATATCCAGACGTCTTCAGAATCCTCTACAGACAGTTGAGATAAGCAGATCAGGTTCCACTGTTTCCAGGAATCCATGATATGCCCAGCTGGATCTGTCCCAGAGGGACACCCAGAAGCCCATTCTCCCATTCTCATCGTTGAAAAAATGTTGTCAATCGCGTTGAGAGACCAACTGACCAGGTCCATTTTAGTAATTTCAGTTTCCAGTTTTCCAGAAAAAAATGCAGAAGCGCCGTACACCCAGAGACAGACAAAGAGCCTTGGGATAAGATGGGGAGGAGAGGAGGAAAAAAAGTGTCTGTACTCTCCAAGAGCCGGAACAACTAAATAACATTACATTACATAAATAGACCAAACCTTGGTCTAGTTCACTAGCCTAGTAAACTAGGCTAGTGAACTAGACTAGTTCACTAGACCAAACTTTGGTCCAGTTCACTAGCCTAGTGAACCAGCCTAGTAAACTAGGCTAGTGAACTAGACTAGTTCACTAGACCAAACTTTGGTCTAGTGAACTAGTCTAGTTCACCAGCCTAGTGAACTAGTCTAGTTCACTAGGCTGCTGAATAACTGTATTTAGTTTACTTTCGTGATCTTATTACAGAAAATAGCTTTTACAGCTGCAACAAAAGGTCTGATCCACATATCCGTGTCCAACACATATTTTTAAATAACATAGGTCTCACACGCACACACACACACACACACACACACACACACACACACACACACACACACACACACACACACACACACACACACACACACACACACACACACACACACACACACACACACACACACAAAGATATAATCTAAAAGAAGATCCCCATATTGCAACAATAGATCCTCCTGGGACCGGTAGAACCTTGGGACAGATGATGGAACTACGGCCTGGAGTCAGCTGAGAGCTCCTGGTGGAGCACAGAAATAAAATATTTAACAAAAGTTAACAAACTGAACTGATTTTGGTTCTGAAGATGAACAGAATCCTCCTCATTGTCCAAATCGGGTCTTCTGAGTCAAATGGCCTAAAACATGTCTGCACCTGCGGCAGCGATATCCAGCTAGCGGGGTCGGAGTTCGGTTGAACTTCTCCGGCAATCCAACATCCGTTCTTGTCTCCGACCCACAGCAAAAACCAATGTGACCGACTAGCAGAGGCTTCAGAAGCTACATCTGACTGATGACACATTGTTCTGCTATAACGCTAAGACTCTGACACTAGTCAGTGACTCGATGCAACCTGCTGGGTTCCTTATATAGAAAACTTTTTACTGATTGGCTTAATGACCTGACCTGTATTGGAATGTTTACTGTGTGAAGGTCCGTGAGATGACTTGTCGTGACTTGGCGCTTTATAAATAAACTGAAACGAAGATGGCCTCTGATTGGCTGCTGGTCATATTGTTTTGGAACAGATGGAACAGGTAAATCTCTGATCCAGAATCGTTCTGGTTAAACTCCACAATGTGATCTCTCTCACCTTCTGTCCTGCTTGACCTTCAAACTCGGGCCTGAGGTCAAACCTGCCGCTGTCCTCCTCATCATCACCATCTTCACTCTGTGGAAAGAGCTGAGTACCTGAAGGCTTCCGATGCACCTGAGAACAGGTAGAGTGGAACTACAGCTGCTGGACCTCAAAGGAAATGAAAGCATCAAACAGCCAGAAGCAATCGATCGCCGAGTGCCAGGCTCATGCGTCACCTCTGTCTCTGTGGTCTTCTGACGGACAGCTGAGAATGCCTCATTTTCTTCTTCTTCCTCCTCTGAAGTGAAGACGACATGTCTCCCCGCCCTAAGAGCTGGAGCGTCCTGATGCAGATCAATAAAAACACAACAAATATCTTAAGAGTGTTCTGACATTCGATCTACATCAGCAGCCTGTAGGGGCCCCAAAAGGCCCCCGGGCCATACTTTGGACATGCCTGCTTGACATGAACATGATACTAATACTACAGCTGAAAGTGCAAGTCACCCTTTTAGCTGATAAACTGTAAAATGAGTCCAATGGTGCTGTAGACACGTGTGGTCTTTTCCGTGAAACTGCCAGTGTGGCGCCCTCTTCAGGTTAAAACCCTGAATTTGAATCAGACATCTCTATTGGCTGAGTGATGCCCTGTGACGTTCCCAGTGCTGCATGATGTCAGCTGCACCATACTGGCTCCGCCTCAGACGAGCCAACATGGGTCGGTCTGGCTCGAAGAACTTCTGAGACTATCATCCAACATCTGGTTTCTGACACTAGAAAGTCCAGAACCAGTCAAGCCTGGTCTCTAACCCTGATCTGAAATTTATTCAGGTTCTGTAAAGTCGTCCCTGTTGGACATTTTGGACTCACCACGTTGGACAGAGCTCCCTGGATCAGCCTCTTCTGCTCCTCAGCCTCTCTCTGTCTCTGATGAAGAGCAGCCAGCCTCCTGATGTTGGCTTTCCGCTGCAGCTCCTCGTCCTCCTCAGCTCCCAACAGCACACTGGCCGTAGCCTCCTCCTGCTCCTCCTTGCTCCCAGAGGGAGAAGAGTTGTTCTTTACCTCCTTTCCCTCCTCTTCTCCTTCTCTGGACTCTGGTGTCTCCATTTCTGAATCTTGGAGGTTTAGTTTGTGTTTTCTTACGTCAGCGTCTCCTCCTGATGTCTCCTTCAACCTTTTTGTTCCCTGAAACGCCGGAAGCAGCATTGAAGCCCTGCCTTTTCTGGTTTTTTTCTTTTTCTTCCGTTGTTCATCCTCACTGTCCTCCTCCAGGATGGAGGCCAGGATCTCCTCGGGTGTGATACCTTTTCTGGTTGGTTCAATTTTGTGTTCTGGGCTGGAGCAGGAGGTGCTGGGAAGTGTAGTCTCAGCAAGCTTCTGTAGATCAGCCAGGGAGAGCTCCAGATGGGGGGCGAAGAACATGGCTTCATAATCCAAATCTGAAGATGAGTCTGAAGATTCCTCTTCCTTGTCGCTGTCTGTCTCCGAGGAGGAGAGCTTTATCACTGGAAGCACTCCAGCTGGTTTCTCCTGAGAGGATGAGGGCTTCCTAGTGGTGGGGGGTCTGTGTCTCTCCTTCACAGGTTCACTCTTCATTTCTGAGCAACAATCAGCTGTTACGTTCTTACTGGAAGCAAAGAGTTCATCTGTGTCGGTGGAATCATAGTCATCCTTTCCACCTGGAATCAGAAGGAAGAAATCTGATCAGGATCGTTGTTGGTGTGGTATCATACATCTGCAGTGTTCTCTAGAGTAACTTGGTGCTATGAAGCTCCGGTTCTGAGATGAAGATGTTTGCTGGTGCAGAGGTGGCTTGAAAACAGCTGGATTACTCATTATTATTAATGATATGCATGCACCTTGCATCTGATTGGATAACAGAACGCGTTGTTGCAAAGTCACCATCACCAAGACCCTCTCTGGTGCATTTTTGTTCGGCCTCTAGAACCTAACGACGTTCTGATATCACAGACCTATTGATATTGTGTTGTTTTTATATTCTTTTACATTCAATTCAATTCAATTCAAAGAGGGAAATTAGAGTTTCAGTACACACAATTCTGAGATCAGACATACATAGGCATAGACACATGACAAGAATTGGTGGCTGTGGTAATTCGCAACCCGAGTCGCGCTACCTTAATAGAGATCAGAGGGGTTTACATGAGGATTGGATCAGGTGGAGGAAAAAAAAGCACATCAGAGTTTCCCTCCACAGGGAGGGCAGCTTTGCTATGCAAAAAACACCTCAGACAGAAATGCAACAGACTTCAGACATAACACAACGTAAGTGTCCACTAGGTGGGGAGGTGGGTTTGGGACTCTCCACACGTCAATGAATGCAGCCGCTATAAGCAGCGCTCGCCACCTCCGTCTGGACAGGGGGAGGAGGTTGTTGGGTTTAGAGGGCACAGTGACTCCTGGAATGATTCAGCGGCCTTCACAGCTCGCAGTCCCGCCCAGGCTGGGATAGGGAGACAGAGTTGCCATGGCGACGGCAGCATTCCACATTTCTTCTGAGGGAGTATTCGTTTCAGCCTCACAGGCTCAAGGGCACCAGATTCAGCTAAGAAATTGTTTTGGGGCCAGACAGAGATAATTTCATCTGTCTTAAAGTTCAGTTGGTCCTCAACCTCTCAAAATCCCAATGATGGCGTAAATTAATCTATCCCAATCCGTGCTGATTCGTTCACTCGCTCCTTGATCGCATCCATCTTTTGTGCCACTGCATGAATCTTAGCCAAAGTTTCAAGCTTACAACTCATCTCGACAATTATATGAGCCTGTGCATTCACAGCGCGGTGTAATCCATCCCTGAGCTCCGGGAAAGAGCCAATATTCCTCGACAGCTTGTTAATTTTTACGGTAAGCCAGGTAACCTCCCAGGCCAAAAAGCAGGACACCTGACACCAACACCACGAATATCCAGATGTCTTCAGAATCTTCTACAGACAGTTGAGATAAGCAGATCAGGTTCCACTGTTTCCAGGAGTCCATGATATGCCCAGCTGGATCTGTCCCAGAGGGGCACCCGGGAGCCCCTTCTCCCGTTCTCATTGCTGAAAAAATGTTGTCAATCGCGTTGAGAGACCAGCTGACCAGGTCCATGCACAACGACTCTAAACCAACAACAGCCTTCCCCGTCGTGAGTCCAGGTGGGTGAGACCATGAATGTTAGTGACAGTGTGACGTAGATCTGTCAGGATTTTCTAATCCTAGAGTTTCACCATCTGTTTTCTATCAGAAGCTACTGCAGGAGATAGGTGTAGGAGACTATTTTCTATCAGAAGCTAAAGCAGGAGATAGATGTAGGAGACAAAGAGACTATTTGTCTCCTGCGATGTTGCAACCTGCAGGATGGGCCTCCAGCATGAGCAAGGTAACAGAAAAAGCAGCTGATCAGAGGTAGATGTCAGCATTTCAATAAATGATGCAGAGTACAACTCCACATCCTGCCATTTTCTTCTCTAACTAACTTCTAGCTCCTGACACAGGAGCACCAGAGCTTTTCCCACAGAGATGAACTCACAAGGCATTAATTTATACTAGACCAATGCATATTCCTGGGATTTTCGCCTATGGGTGTAGGGGACCATGTTCAGCCTGCATGAAACACTAAGGGTGAGCTTTTAGAATCAGAAATAATCCTTAAAACACGTTTTTTCTGTGAAACTGACTTCAGTAATCTTTGGACTGTGGTTTAGATACATCATCATCCTTACTGCCCCAACAGTCACTCTTCTGGGGATGAAGATATGTGCTCCACTGAATTATCTGTAGCCGGGATCATCCCCTATCAGAGCCTTAATCAACTCCCACTTCCTGTTTGAAAAATCAGGGTTTCCCCCAGCGCTTTATACGCCTGGCGACCCGCCAGGCTAAGCATCATGCCCCTAACTAGAGCCCTCCATCAGCTGATACTGGTGAGAAACAGCAGCGGAACGTGTGCAACCCCCCCACCCCCACCCCCGCTCTCACGGAGGAGCGCGCGACACCCCCTCTGACAGTCGAATCTGCCGGGCTTAACTCATTTTCTGGGGGAAACCCTGAAAAATGCAACAAATGCTGTTGCCTAGCAGAATGAGAGGGCGAAGCCGCTAACAGATATACAAACACACACAGGCTCACAACGACATTGTGACATCATATGGTACCAGCTAACGTTCTAGGGTACCTCTTAGCCAATAGCAATGGCAGATTTAAATTCAAATGCAGTGCAGAGTTTTTACCTGACAACAGCACAACACTGACAGTTTTAGGCAGAAAATTAAAATTTTGACTAAAATGCACTAAAGTGCTAAACTATTGACTACACGTGTCTGCAGCACGATTAGACACGCATTTATATAGTTTATCAGAAAAAGAAAGTTGATTTGGGGGTGACTTGCTCTTTAATAAACGGGATTACCGTGTTTAAAACTGAACTTCTTCAGAGTTAATAACTAATTACTGATTTTTGGAAAACTGCCCGTAAAATCTGAACTTGTACTTTTGCTCTAAGACACACAGTGGAACCCAGCTTTAATTTAAAATTCAGTTTGATTTTATTTGCATGAGTTTTTACTGTGATAGTGATATAATTATAGTTTTCATTTGTGTAGTTTTATGATATGGTTTTAATCCTACTGTGGGGATTGGTGGGGGTGAAACTGCATGAGCTGGGCCACAGAGCAGGCCCAACATAGCGGTCAGCTGAGCACAGAAACACAGAATACCCAGAAGTGAACACAATTAACCTATCATACATACACTTCACATAATAGGCTTCAGACATCAAGTTCGTCTTCAGACTGTCGGCTTCACAACCAACCAAACTAGAGGAGAAAAACCGTCCTGGTACCTCTGAGTTTGGATGTTACAATGTAGTCTGCTCCAACCACCTCCAGGTCACTGTCCTCCACTTCCTGCTGCAGGGCATCATGGGAGGTCTGCTCATCTGCCACTTGACCACAGATTTCCTGGTCTGATTTGACCTCGCTGTCAGGAAAATGTGTCCTCAACATCCGAGCTGGTCTGTGATTGGTTGGTGGTTCTGAACCACTGGTGAGCCGACAGTCGGAGTCAACAAGCTGCTCACATCTGCTCAACACCAAGAAGAAAAAAAAAACAACATTTAGAGATCAAACCAAATATCAAACATGTCCCGAGTCAAACAGGACCCAGAACTCTAGAACCAAAGCATCACACTGCAGCAAGAATCAGGAAGCAGTGAATCAGGTCTGGAAAAGTTTCACATGCCTTTTAACACCATAAATAATTCATGTGGCATTTACTCAGTTAGAATAAGTGGAGACACATGCAGCACAAATTCAGCAGACCAACCCTAACAGCCTCCCTGCTTTCCTGCACACTGTCAATCAATCAAAGCTTTATTTATATACAGCGCCTTCCACAACCCTTTTCAGGCGCCCAAGGTGCTAGAACACACTGTAAAAAGACAGAGTCATAAAAAGTTAAAACATAGACCGTAGAGCATAAGGCAAAGGGATGAAACAATGAACAAAAGCACCCTAACAAGGAATAAGACAGCAATTAAAAACAAGAACTTAAAATAACATAAAAGCAAGCCGACTTCCAACATGTTCTGGAAACGCTAATCGAAAAATATTCATTTTCTGTTGACTCTTAAAAACTGGCAAAGAGGTAAACATCCTAACTGCAGGTGGCAGCTGGTTTCACAGTGATGGGGCTAGGACTGAGAAAGCCCGGTCCCAACGAGTTCGACACTTCGCGCAAGTGGGACGAGGAGGCCCTGATCAGAAGAGCTCAGAGAGCGTGAAGGCAAATGTCTCTTCAGGAGCATCGCTAAGTAAGGAGGGGCATCTCCCTAAAAGAAATTAAAGACGAAAACCAGGAGTTTTAAACGTGCTCGATAAAAAAACAGGAAGCCAATGTAGGGAGGTCACTTCCTGGCCCCAGTCAGAAACCTGGCGGCGCTGTTCAGTGCAATCTGAAGACGACACAGTGATGACCGACCAAACCCAGCATGGAGACAATTGCAATGATAATCTAGAGATTACAAATGCATGGAGTACCCGCTCCAGGTGGACTCTCGACAACACAGGTTTGATTTTTGATAGGCGTCGCAGATGGAAAAAACAGGATCAGATCAAGGAGTTGATGTGAGCATCAAATTTAAGTCTAGAGTAAATTCTCACCCCCAAGCTGGTGACAACTGGACTATAATCTCTACCAATCTCACTAGAGGTGAGATCTAGAGATCATCTCCAACAAGTGTCCTGACAATCTGAGCTATTTTCTGCAGATGAACAGCGGTTTCCTCTGATCTACAGCTAGAGCTCCCAGCCCCTCAACCCTAGCCCCAGGAACGAGTGTTTTGTTTACGTCAGACACTTTAACCATGGAGATGTAGAAAACGCTTACCTGGTTCTGTCCAAACAGACCACACCTGTCCGATTCTTCTTGGGCCTTGATGGCTCATAGGGGGGAAACTCACCCCGCCTCTTCTTACTGATGTCATCATCCCCTCCCTGTACCTGCCAGGTGAGCTGGGAGATAGGTGTGGACGCCTCTGGGGCACTCCGGTCTAGCCTGCGAATGTTGTGGCTATATTTTGATGGGTCGTACTTCAGAGTTTGAGCTTTTCTACCTTTCTGACATCCGAGCTGAAGGATGGGAAGCACTCGACCAAATTTAGTGACCACCCAGTCCTGAAACCAGAGAAGACCATCAACAGGTGACCCCCACCTACAAGAACAGAAATGATCATCTAGAGCAGTGGTTCCCAACCATTTTCCCAAGGGACCCCGTTTTTTACCAGTAAAATTTTTGACGACCCCCCTCCCATTCTCTCTTCCAGTACAAACATTATTAAGAAATGATAAAATTGTTCAAGCACATTTTAATATGCTTTGATTCAATAGATACCAGTAATAGTAGGCTCCAGTACAGAACAAAGTCATTAACAAAACCAAACAGAGCATAATGTGCTTGACAGTTTGTATTACTTTTCTGAACACATTGTTTCTTGTAAACACTGATAAATCAATCATTCCTTTCAATAAACATTTGACACATAAATATTACTGTTTATACTAGATTATTTACTGTAAAGGCTGTGATTAATCAACCAGTCCTATCTTTAATGAACTTTTGACACTTGAAAATAAAACAGTGAGCTGAGCAAAATGTTCTTATAAGTGTGTTACTTTTTCTGTCCTAATTATTTCCTGTCTTAATATCAGTAAACTTTTCACTCATGAAAAAAAGTGAGCAAAATGTAGGCTATAAACAAGTAATAAATGAAGTTTTAACCCCTTAAAGCGAAGAGGTCCTGGCGACCCACTGAGAGGCTTTGGCGCCCCCTTGTGGGGGTCGGGACCCCCAGCTTAGGAACCACTGATCTAGAGACAAACATGACTCTGCTCCCAATGGAAACAGCCACATGACCTTTTAAAATTACCTCTTCAAACATTAACTGTAGGATGGTAGAGCTTTTTCCTGTGGTTGGATGAACTTCTGACTTCAGTTAAAACAAAACAAGCTCAGCTGGAGCAGCAAGCAGGTGAACAACAAACCTTATGACCTGGAACTTCAGATCCTGGTACTGCTGACTTCATGGTGAAGTTTTCCACTCCAACTTTACTCAGAGAGTTCAGGAGCTTCTGCGTCTTTTCTTCAGCAGCAGATTGACGAAGACGCCGCTCTGCTGCCTCCTGCTGCTCCTGTGCTAACCTAGTAAGTAAGTAAGTAAGTAACTTTATTTGTATAGCACCTCTCACAGACAAAAAGGTCACAAAGTGCTTCACAAGTTAAAAGGCAACAACATATAAATACAGTAAAATACAGCCACAATATACATAGTGTCAAATACAACCAATCCGAATGAGACTAAGTTTAAAATGCCTGGAGAAACAAATGGGTTTTAAGATTGCTCTTAAAAACATCAACTGAGTCGATTGAGCGTAAAGACAGAGGTAGCTCATTCCAGAGCCTAGGAGCAACGGCCTGGAATGAGCGATCTCCTCGTGTCCTGAACTGAGTACGTGGGACCATTAAAAGGTTTTGATCCAGTGATCTCAGCCTGCGAGAAGGCGTGTAAGGGCAGAGCATGTCTCGAACATACAATGGAGCCAGACCATGCAGCGCTCTGAAAGTCAGCACAAGAATTTTAAAATTGATGCGAGATGAGATTGGAAGCCAATGAAGAGCTTTTAAAATGGGGGTAATGTGGGCCCTTCTGTTGTCACGGGTCAGAATTCTAGCTGCACAATTCTGGACTTGTAAGCGGGACAGCTCTTTTTTGCTTAGACAAGAAAATAAACTATTACAGTAGTCTAAACGGGATGATGTAAACGCATGAATAATCAACTCAAGATCAACTTTAGACACCATTGTTCTGAGTTTAGAAATTTCTCTCAAGTGGTAAAAACAGTTTCTAGTTAACTGCTTTGAGTGATGTTCAAGAGACATTCCCTTGTCAAAGAAAACTCCAAGGTTTCTAAGGGTAGGTTTTACAGACAAACTCAGATCACCTAACTGCTGGTGAATCCCTGGAACAGCATTATCGGGGGTAGGGCTGCAACAAACGATTATTTGGATAATCGATGAATCGGATGGGGTCTCGACACGATTAATCGATTAATCGGATTACATGGGGACATTTTTAAAAACTGCTAGGGAAACGCTATTTTTCTCCTTCCTTCACTTTATTAAACACAACATTATTAGAAAACAGTTCAATAGCAGAAAAACAACATGCCATCACCTAAATTGTCTTATAAGGTGTATAGACAGAGACCCTAAGCTACACCTATCTGTGACCTAAAATGCTTGGTCCAAGTTAAACAGCTTAAAGAGCAAGTCAACCCCTACCAGAGTCTAACTCCACTCCCACTTCATGTTTGAAAAATGCAACACATGCTGTTGCCTGGCAGACCGAGAGGGCGGAGCCGCTAACAAACACACACTCAGGCTCACGACAGCATTGTGACATCATAATGTACCAGTTTACATCATAGCATACTTCTTAGCCAATAGCGGTGGCAGATTTAAATTAAAATACAGTGCAGTTTTTACCTGACAACGGCACAACACTGCCAGTTTTAGGCAGAATATTTAAATTTTAACTAAGATGCACTGAAGTGCCAAATTTTTGACGACACGTGTCTGCAGCACGATTAGACACTCGTTTATTTAGTTTATCAGCAAAAAAAAGTTTATTTGGGGGTGACTTGCTCTTTAAGGGCAATTCTCATCTGTTTTGTTTGATCTCATCTGTAGACATTTATTATAACTGGGGATGTCAAACAACTAATTTTTAAATGTAATTAAACATAGGCTGTGAATTAATCAAAATTAATCACTATTTCCAAACATGACTGAAAAAATACCAAATAAAACAAAAGTAAATGAATGCCATCCTCCTTGTGATGATGCCCTGGGCAACTGCCATAAAGTCACATCAAGAAATGCTGCTGATCATTCCAATGATCCCAAATAGACTCACATTAGGCCACATGAAAGCAACTGAACCCAAAAATATATTAACCAGTATATAACTGCACTCTCTCACAACACGCCTGCAGCAGCAGTTAGGACTCCTTCCTCCCTTTTAAAAGCGTTTTCGCTTCTGAGGACATTGAGGTTGTAAAGCCACACGCTAGTAGTCTGGCCCCGGTGTGATCAACCAGTTTCTGCGGGAATGTGACGGCGGAACCGGTTCGCAGCGACGCAAGCCCCCCCATCTAATAGCTTCGCGCTTACAATTTTATACTTTTTTTAACGAGCTTAGGGCATGTCTAGCCTGTGTAATAATCCGGGGCTTGGGTGAATCACTTTTGAAAAGTTTTTAGCTTACCCGGACACCAAGCTCTCTCCTTCCTCGCTGATGATTCTGACATGCTTGCGTTTAAGACGCTGCATCATCACCGTAGTACTACCGTGCCATGCTAAGTCTGACCTAAAAACGTTGCAGGTAACGAACGTCTTCGCCTGATTTAACTGAAAATGCTCCCTAACTTTAGAAATTTTAACTTTTTTGGGGTCTCGCTGCTTCTGCCATGTTCCTCTTCCAAACACCTGCCAGTGTTCCGCTGTCTGGTCTGCGCGCAACGGCGGGCGGGAGGGGAGGGGGCTTTTGGAAGAGTTGTGCAACACAACGAATCGATGATGCAATTCGTTGCCAACGCTTTTAGTAATCGATTTTCATCGAATTTATCGATTCGTTGTTGCAGCCCTAGAGTTAACCTTTAAGGACACAAAACCAGAGACCACTAAGATCATAACCAAGTCAAACGTGAGTTGACATCCATTCCCCTGCTGGTCATACCAACAGGTCCTACTGGATCGTCTCAGAGTTTTAAAGTTAGTTCAAACTCATCTCTCGGAGTTAAAAGTTACAGTAAAAACTCGGTGTGGGTCATCAGAGAGATTCAGCTCAGCTGTGTTCCTCAGCAGCCTGGAGGAGAGGAGGAGCAGGGGATGGGTGATCCTGGCTCGTGGATCTGAAGAGGCCAGGCTGGTGGCCACAGCGTCAGCGAGCAGAGTAAACAGGGACATAGCCGCTATGTCATGTGAAACCCAGCTACATCTGTGATTTTTATCGCTGTTTATCTGTCATGCTTTGACAACCATCGGACAGTTGAAAACCCGGGCTTGGAGATCTCTTCGTCATTCTTGGGCCCAGTTGGAAATATAAAACTTTACAAAAGATAAAAAGTTCTAGACCAACATTTCAATGAACGTTACTCATCACATGAAGAAGAAGGGAGATACCATGGGAATCAGCAGGTAAGAAGATGAATGAATGAATGAATGATGCACTAACATGGGAGGGCTTGACTCCACATGGTGGCGCTGTCACCAGATGGACTCCTAGAACATCTCTAACGCCTCCAGACCTGACTGTCAGGATGCTGATTCAGGTAGGAGCTCAGAAATTTCCCTGCAGAATTCCCAGCAACCCTGTTGATTTGGAACTTCAATCGTGTTTCGTTTGCTCTGACATGAGAAGCGGAGGAGAACAGACCTGTGCAGGAAGCTCTCTTTAGCTGCTTCGATCTGTAGAGTTCCTCCCTTCCACTTGGATTTGTTAAGAACTGTCAAACCTGCAAAGAACACACAAACTGTGATGTCATCAAAACATCCAACACCTAAAAGAGCCTACTTTAAAGCTGTTAGAGCTCATTTAGAAGTCATTGTTTCAGGTCTCCCTAATAATGATTTAACATAGTGTGCTGGAGCAATAAAAATAATGTGGAGCTCATCATACTGAACCGAACCGCCTTATTCATCAAGCACATTTCCTAACAGCATGGGAGCTGACCAAAGCGCTTTACACATAGTACAGAGGAAAGGTCATAAAAAAGAATCACTATATCTTAAAACTGCAGTAAAAGATTAGTTTACAATCAATAAAACCTAATAAAAGTACAGATAAAGATAATTTAACAATAACTTATTAATGGTTTCAAAGCCAAGTCATAAAAGTACGTTTTCAATCAGAACTTGAGGAACGCAGTAGGGCTGGACGATAATTCAATAGTTCGATATATCTATCGATAGACATGTGGTGGGCTGCGTGGTGGCGCAGTGGTTAGAGCTGTTGCCTTGCAGCAAGAAGGTCCTGGGTTTGCTTCCCGGCCTGGGATCTTTCTGCATGGAGTTTGCATGTTCTCCCTGTGCATGCGTGGGTTCTCTCCGGGTACTCCGGCTTCCTCCCACAGTCCAAAAACATGACTGTTTGTTTGATTGGTCTGTCTAAATTGTCCTTAGGTGTGAGTGTGTGTGTGCATGGTTGTTTGTCCTGTGTGTATGGCGTTTAAAGCGTGCCACAACCCGTGCACGCGCATTGGGTCCACAGCGCGCGTGTGAACGGGACTCGCGAGCGCAAATATACATGGCAGCGCGCGTGTGAACGGGACTCGCGCGCGTGTGAACGGGACTCGCGAGCGAAAATATACATGGCGAGAGGTCATTTGTGCACTGAGAGGGAGCAAACTGTGTCTGTGAGCGCACAAGGATGTGCACAAGTGACAAACCTGCGTGCGCGCGTTGTCAACGAGCACACGGCAGAGGAAAACGTGCGCGCGCGGCAGCCTCTGTGCGCGCTCGGCAGCCTCTCTGCGCGCTCGGTTTCTGACTCCTGCTCGCTCGGCTGTAAGGGCTTTTGGCACTCTGGAGGCGTGGCCTGTGGCAGATCTTGTCTGTCCTCTGATTGGTTAGTTCACCCCGCACTTTACCCTCTATCTATATAAAAAAGTCTGATGTTCAGTAGTTGCTGGCATAGCTCAGCTGGGAGAGCGGGTGACTCTCGCCCCGGAGGATCCCGGTTCGAGTCCGGGCAAGGAAAATGTAGTAGATGTCATGTTAATTTTTCTTAATTTCAGGTATTTTACAGTTGTGACCGTTCAACTGTCATTAAACGTCCGAATGTTTGCTGGGCAGTGTTTTAAAAAGTGCACATAAGCTAGATGGTTTTAACCATATAAAATTACATTTTTTGTGATACTGGAAAAATACATACTGAAATAAAACTACTGATTGAAAACTTTATGACTGTGATTGTACAATATATGACTCACTAATACACTGCAAACTCCCTTAGAGTGGGGCTTCCAGAGAGAGAGAGAGAGAGAGAGAGAGAGAAAGAGAGAGAGAGAGAGAGAGAGAGAGAGAGAGAGAGAGAGAGAGAAGTTCTTGCCTCATTAATGAATTGTTTATTTTTTTCAGTATTTAATTGACAAATTATCCTTTCAAATAATTAATTGATGAGTTACATAATTGTCCATTTAGAATTGTTGAATGGACTGAGTCAAGTTTGGTGCACTTTATATATTTCAAAACATGTTTTTTTTATTTTAATGATGCATATAAATAATTTAAATGTTAATTTAATGAAATATTTCTATTTTTTCATTACCTCACCCTTGTTTTGACAAAAACGGGACCTTGCTGGATAATATCATGGAGAAACTATTTGTTCACAGTACATGGCTCAGTGAGGATCTGTGTACCAAAGGAGGAGATACTCAGAAATCTGTCTGCAGATTGTTACAACCCAGACTGGAAGTGGCGGGCTGTAATAAGAAAGGAGACCAAACAGAGGAGTGGGGGTTCAACAACTGATTTATTTAACAAAAGTAATGATTTACTAAAGCAAGTTAGTGAACAGAAAATGGCCATCTCAAGGTTTTACACGGATGTTCCTCAGCAGGGTGCAGCACTGTTGAAGGTCATCTGAATGAAAGCTTGATATGCAGTTTCTTTATGAAATGGACAATTATGTAACTCATCAATTAATTATTTGAAAGGATAATTTGTCAATTAAATTCTGAAAAAAATAAACAATTCATTAATGAGGCAAGAACTTTTCTCTCTCTCTCTCTCTCTCTCTGGAAGCCCCACTCTAAGGGAGTTTGCAGTGTATTAGTGAGTCATATATTGTACAACCACAGTCATAAAGTTTTCAATCAGTAGTTTTATTTCAGTATGTATTTTTCCAGTATCACAAAAAATGTAATTTTATATGGTTAAAACCATCTAGCTTATGTGCACTTTTTAAAACACTGCCCAGCAAACATTCGGACATTTAATGACAGTTGAACGGTCACAACTGTAAAATACCTGAAATTAAGAAAAATTAACATGACGCCTACTACATTTTCCTTGCCCGGACTCGAACCTGGATCCTCCGGGGCGAGAGTCACCCACTCTCCCAGCTGAGCTATGCCAGCAACTACTGAACATCAGACTTTTTTATATAGATAGAGGGTAAAGTGCGGGGTGAACTAACCAATCAGAGGACAGACAAGATCTGCCACAGGCCACGCCTCCAGAGTGCCAAAAGCCCTTACAGCCGAGCGAGCAGGAGTCAGAAACCGAGCGCGCACAGAGGCTGCCGAGCGCGCACAGAGGCTGCCGCGCGCGCACGTTTTCCTCTGCCGTGTGCTCGTTGACAACGCGCGCACGCAGGTTTGTCACTTGTGCACATCCTTGTGCGCTCACAGACACAGTTTGCTCCCTCTCTGTGCACAAATGACCTCTCGCCATGTATATTTTCGCTCGCGAGTCCCGTTCACATGCGCGCGAGTCCCGTTCACACGCGCGCTGTGGACCCAATGCGCGTGCACGGGTTGTGACACGGGTATGACGCGATATGTGTGTCTCTGTGTTGCCCTGCGATGGACTGGCTCTCTGTCCAGGGTGTACCCCTCCTACTTGCCAGTTGACTGCTGGAGATAGGCACCATCCCCCCCCCCCCCCCCCCCCATATATACATATATATATATACATATATATATATATATATATATATATATATATATATATATATATATATATATATACTGAAGATTTTAAAAACAGGTTGGTCTTTTTAGGACTAAAAGGGAGGAAAATAAAAAACATTTTATGTGTTAAAGCTTCTTTCCGGAGTATTTCTCTTATCTGATGGCACCATCTAGTGGCTGACAAGCATATCACACAAAAAGTCTATTCCTCTGTTTAAGATCGCGACTTCATGTTTCTGTTTATAAATGTGCTTCTCAGCTGACAAACGGAGCTAAAACACTCTGTTTTACGAGTATTATTCTCATGTAATGTTGTGTTTTCATATATTTATATTTTAGAGACTTACTTGTCTGTGAAAAGTTCATCAACTCTGCATCAACCGAGGTGTTCCCGTACTCATAAGTATCCTGCCCGTGGATTCAGACACACCCTTTGTCTTCGGCCTGGCCGAAAACAGTTTATGATTGGTCAGTCCTCGTGCACACGGGTAGATTATCGTTCTCTTTCCTTACTCCCGGAAGAACGGTTCAGGGTGCAAATGGTTTCTTTGTTGCTAATCTGTGGGGAATATCTACAAGAAAGTTCTACAGAAAGTAGCAAAGGGTCCTGAGAAATGTCGCTAGGTTTGTTGCTAGGCGCTTTTTGGAAAAAAAAAGTTGTTTAGCAGCAGAACGCCACCGGTGTGAGAGGTTCTCCGCTCAGTAACATCAGAGGACGAGAAACAGCCGGCTGCTACCGCTTCAGCTTTAGGACAAACTACCAGAGTCCTACAAATAAAATCACCGATTGAAGTCACGGACAACAGAAGATGTTTGGACCGAGAAAATGGAGACTGGTGTTTAGGGCTATCTCGTTTCCTCTGCAAACGTGTGAGTTTCCGGTGGACATGGACCCATGGAAATTCCCCGAGGGGAGGGTTGAGTGTTACATGACCGTGTTTGCATTCAAAACCTAGCTTGCTTGCAGATTTACTATAACAGCTTTAATCAGCCCCGACACATACCTGTATGGATCATTATGAATGTCACCAGACTGTGACAAGTGAATCAATATGAAAGGCATCATCACAAGTCAGATTCAGTCTGCCAGAACAAAAATCATCACATTTCCTAGTAAAAGGTTTCTTGTGACTTACATTTCTGCAGGTTGGCATCTGAGATGTTTATGTTGATGTAGCCAAACGTTTTATAAGGTACACCTGCAGGACAAAGAAAACCAACAGTTTCATACGGTTTTAACTTTTGAGGATTTGACGTAACTGCTGTTATTTTTCCAGCTCACAGGATTTAAACCTCACATTAACTGAAGTCTGTAAAGATAAGAATCATAGAGCTGTTTAACTCCCAAGAAAACCATCTGCTTGTGATCTCAAACTGGTGATTTCATTATTAATGACGTGACCGTGTTAAATACAGAGTGTCTGAAAATCAAACTCTTTACCCTCATCATCACTCCTGGTCCGCAACTCCACATCCACCACCTCCCCAAACTTCCCAAATCGATCCTTCAGGTCCTTCTGGGTGACCGAGTGGCTCAACCCTCCAATGTACAGCCGCCGCATCATTCTAGCAGCCTCTAATCAGCCTGCCTCACCTGCACAGAAGAAACCATTACAAGTCAAACCTACTTAGATCAAACAGTAGAGGTGTAGTCCTTTTAAAAATCAGCCAACGAATGGTGACCCAACCATCACCGTGGTGACATAAATGGTGACACGACCATCACCGTGGTGAAACGACCATCACTGTGGTGACACGACCATCACTGTGGTGACATAAATGGTGACACGACCATCACCGTGGTGACACGAACGTGGCACAACTATCAACGAGGTGACATAAATGGTGACACGACCATCACCGTGGTGAAACGACCATCACTGTGGTGACATAAATGGTGACACGACCATCATTGTGGTGCCACGAACGTGGCACAACCATCAACAAGGTGACACGAACGGTGACATGACCATCAACGCGGTGACATAAATGGTGACACGGCCATCACCGTGGTGACGTAAATGGTGACACAACCATCACCATGGTGACCCGACCATCAAGGTGGTGACATGAATGGTGACACGACCATCAACGAGGTGACACGACCATCACTGTGGTGACATACAGGTGCTGGCCAGTAAATTAGAATATCATCAAAAGGTTGAAAATATTTCAGTAATTCCATTCAAAACGTGAAACTTGTACATTATATTCATGCAATGCACACAGACCAATGTATTTCCAATGTTCATTACATTTAAATTTGATATTTATAGGTGACAACCAATGAAAACATCAAATCTGGTATCTCAGACAATTAGAATATTCTAAAGGCCAATGAAAAAATGTTTGTTTCTCTAATGTTGGCCAACTGAAAAGAATGAACATGAAAAGAATGTGCATGTATAGCACTCAATACTTAGTCGGGGCTCCTTTTGCCTCAATAACTGCAGTAATGCGGCGTGGCATGGACTCGATCAGTCTGTGGCACTGCTCAGGTGTTATGAGAGCCCAGGTTGCTCTGATAGTCGTCTTCAGCTCCTCTGCATTGTTGGGTCTAGCGTATTGCATCCTCCGCTTCACAATACCCCATAGATTTTCTATGGGGTTAAGGTCAGGCGAGTTTGCTGGCCAATCAAGGACAGGGATACCATGGTCCTTGAACCAGGTGCTGGTGGTTTTGGCACTGTGTGCAGGTGCCAAGTCCTGTTGAAAGGTGAAGTCTGCATCCCCATAAAGTTGGTCAGCAGCAGGAAGCATGAAGTGCTCTAAAACTTCCTGGTAGACGGCTGCATTGACCCTGGACCTCAGGAAACAGAGTGGGCCAACACCGGCAGATGACATGGCACCCCACACCATCACTGACGGTGGAAACTTTACACTGGACCTCATGCAACGTGGATTCTGTGCTTCTCCGCTCTTCCTTCAGACTCTGGGTCCTTGATTTCCAAAGGAAATGCAGAACTTGCTTTCATCAGAAAACATAACTTTGGACCACTCAGCATCAGTCCAGTCCTTTTTGTCCTTGGCCCAGGCGAGACGCTTCTTGCGCTGTTTCTTGTTCAAGAGTGGCTTGACACACGGAATGCGACACCTGAATCCCATGTCTTTCATGAGTCTCCTCGTGGTGGTTCTTGAAGCGCTGACTCCAGCTGCAGTCCACTCTTTGTGGATCTCCCCCACATTTTTGAATGGGTTTGTCGTCACAATTCTCTGCAGGGTGCGGTTATCCCTAGAGCTTGTACACTTTTTTCTACCACATTTTTTCCGTCCCTTCGCCTGTCTGTTAATGTGCTTGGACACAGAGCTCTGCGAACAGCCAGCTTCTTTAGCAATCACCTTTTGTGTCTTGCCCTCCTTGTGCAAGGTGTCAATGATTGTCTTTTGGACAGCTGTTAAGTCAGAAGTCTTCCCCATGATTGTGGTGCCTTCAAAACAAGACTGAGGGACCTTTTAAAGGCCTTTGCAGGTGTTTTGAGTAAATCAGCTGATTAGAGTGGCAGCAGGTGTCTTCTATATTCAGCCTTTTCAGAATATTCTAATTTTTTGAGATACCAAATTTGGAGTTTTCATTAGTTGTCACTTATGAATATCAAATTTAAATGTAATGAACATTGGAAATACATTGGTCTGTGTGCATTGCATGAATATAATGTACAAGTTTCACGTTTTGAATGGAATTACTGAAATATTTTCAACCTTTTGATGATATTCTAATTTACTGGCCAGCACCTGTAAATGGTGACACGACCATCACCGTGGTGACACGAACGTGGCACAACCATCAACAAGGTGACACGAACGGTGACATGACCATCAATGTGGTGACATGAATGGTGACACGACCATCACTGTGGTGACATAAATGGTGACACGACCATCACCGTGGTGACATCAGTGGTGACACAACCATCACCATGGTGACCCGACCATCAACATGGTGACACGAACGGTGATACGACCATCACCGTGGTGACACGACCATCAATGTGGTGACACAAGCGGTGACACGACCATCAACTAGTGACATGACCATCACTGTGGTGACACGACCATCAGCGTGGTGACATGACCATCAACGTAGTGACACGAACGGTGACACGACCATCAATGTGGTGACGCGAGCATCATCGCTGTGACACGAGCGTCATCACTGTGACGTGGCAGATCTTTCTGAGCACAAGAACTTATGGAGAAGTCTGATGGAAGATGAAACGAGGGATGAAGCTGCTAGTTGGTGTATTGGTCCGAATACCAGGTGAACGGTTCTAACCAGAAAGTAATGCTGTCCGTTTGTTAACCTGTTGGTTACCTAATAAACTATATCAAATGAAGAAAAACAGACATTTTAGTAACTACTGTACTTCCCCGATTTGGGGTAAAACGGGTTTATTAATTTATTCTAAATCTCCATAAAAGGGAAATTCTCTGTAATGTCTTCTTTATCAGACTAAAACTACCTTCTGATATTTAACTGAGTCGTATCCGTGAACATCCACACACCCATTTACCGGCTTTAAAACACGCAAATACACGAAAGATGTGGCAGAAAAGGACAGACTTAGTAAAACCAGAACAAACTCGTGTCTGAATCAAAGAGAGACTATCTCTTTGATGAACGCACACAAATACGTCAGATGGCTCTATGATTTCATATCAATCTGTTTTAACACTGTTTATCACAGCAGCAAAAAGTAATCACAAATATTTACCTCACATGTATTCACCCGGTGCTATTCTTTTCTGTGTCCCACTGACACTTCCTATTTCTACAAACGTTCCGCCCCAATCGAGGGTTCAGAACACTTATGGACGTAAAAACAAATTTTAAATTCTGATGATGTTAAAATATAAAAAATCTCAAACACGTCTGTAAGTAGAAGCTTGTCTGTTTTGCCAGAAAACCGTGATGCAATAAGCATTTATTTTACCGGGACAGAATATTTCCTATTCCGTCGTTCCTTCTGCGGTTTCGAAGGGCGACACCATTCGATCTATTTGATTCAGATTGATTAAAATTGTTTATCGGAGACATTAAAGATTTATTATATTGATCCTATGATTATTTAGGCTGGGGATTCTTTGTAGCTAGAGAAACTACTTGTTGGTGTGAACAGAGCTTTTCCTGAGTCTACCCCATAGGTGGTAGAGTCCGGGAGCGCGCGAAGCTACAAACTAGTTAGCGTGGAGCTAACTAACTCCGACTCCAACCAGCCAGGTAAAAGCCAGTTGCCGTCTGTTACTGAAATAATCGTCTCATTTGTAGTTTTATTATGCCCTTCTTTCAACACATGCCATGTATTTTGTCAACGAAAGTGCTAAAGTGAAGAGTTTTAGTTTGAGGTTATTTTCAGTGTGGTTACATTTGTGTGTCCTCACCAGGTGCGTCAGAAGCATAAAAATGTGGGGGTTAGTCCCCCAATGAGGGGCTTCCCACAGAAAACACTATTATGGTGTAGATGGCATTTTCTGCATTATAGTGCATTTTGCTTACAGTAGTTAAACCTTAAAGGAGCATGGGGCAGAATTGTCCAAAAACAAAAAGTAAATGTTCATTCTTGTGAAGCTTATGGGTGATGAAGCATTTTAAACTAAAAAGAATGATAAAACCAGTTTATCATTCCATTTTGTTAAACAGGCTGTGTGCTTCAAAATGCAAAACATGTCGCATCCGAATTTCCCGCGCTGTTTTAAGGATGTGACGTTATTTGACGCTTCAAGCGCATTCTCGACAAGGTTCAAACCCGGAAAAACATTTGGAAGCTTGCTAGGTGGCGGTAATGCGTCTTTCACTACTAGCCACGTTAAAACCTCAAACAGAAGAGGAAGAACCCTGGAAATGGATTCTACAACTAGCAAACGACCAAGCGCAACTCAAAGCCCACTAAAGAGTGGCACAAAGAAAAAGGTTTTATCAGCGGCATGTCGAGAGTCAAAAAGAAAATATGATAAAAGTCGGTCAGGGACCCGAATATCTATTGGTTACGCTCTGGAAAAATGGAGGCTGCTTCAACTGGATTTGGTGCCTGAAAAAGGATGCGGACATGGCACATTTTCTAGTGACCAGGTAAGTGTTGGTCTCCTTATTTCTGCTGTAGGTTTCAGTAACGAGTAGGTAAACATATCAGAGCTGTATCTGCACAATTTGAGAAAATAAAATTAAACTTATGGATTTAGATAATGCTGATTTAGGTAATCTAACAAATCTTTGTGCAGATGAACAAGAAACTTATCTAAGCTAACGGTGTTTAGCATATGGCTTCCTGATCAGTTTAAAAAAGCTAAAAGCAACTAAGGTGTAATCAGATCACTTCTACGTTTTGTGGACGACACGCCGCATGTGTTTGGAGATAAATGGATGCTCCGTTTATTCTGACGAGAAAAGTAAACAGAGCTTGATTTGATTATACCGCTCAGCCGGAGAGAGCTAGCGTGCGTTAGCATGTTAGCTGCGATCACGTTTCAGTTTGTATGTACCACAGAAGAGAACGGACATTTTCCAAACCAAAGATCAGTCTTTAGAATTATGTCATATTTGATCTACAGTCCAACCTCTAAGCAGGACTGTTACTTCAGTAGATAATGTTATTCGTGGGGTTTGTGTAACAGAACCCCATCAGAATATATTTTCCTAGCGCTATTGCTGTGCTACATAAGAATAAATAATAAGTCAGCCATAACAACACGTTTGACTAAAAGTAAAGTTGTGCAGAAGTTTGTATTTATTTTTCTAAATTTGTCCAGTTGAATGTAGGTCAGAATAAAATATGTTTGTGAAAATGATAAATAAATTTTTTTTATGACTGACATGCATTTTCATATTACTAGTTGTGCCACAGGTAAAGAAGCTTAGCCATTATTGATCTATGTAAACAGAAGGTGTAGAGTCTCAACCAACTTGTTGACATTTTTGCTTAAAAATGTGTTTTCCAGCTACCAGGAGAAGCAGGCTCCTGAAACTGCAATTCAGGGAGGTAATGTGCAGTCAACCTCAACACCCAGTAAGCGAACAGCAGCTAAAATGTTGCATCGATTATCTCCAACTGAACCTGTGTCTGAGGGGTTAGTATCTTTTCTGTAAAACAAATATTCACGTTTTTGTGCTATGATATTTCATACATTAAATTACACCTTGCATATCCACACTTGGTTCAGAACTAACATCACACCACCAAACACTTCTGACATTATCTTTACAGTGAAGATTTTCTAATGGCTGGTGTTGAGGCCTTAGCTGATGACCTAGATTTGGATCCTGTTACAACCAGGTGTCTAGGGGGCCTGGGGTAACATGGAGGACGCGTGACACAAAGGAAAATTAACAAAGGTTTTATTTACTTTCTCTTAATTCAGAAAAGATGACTATTATTCTTTTAACCACCACGGATCTAAATCCACTTTTACCAAAACAGGTTCAAACAGTAAGAGCACAATACCGAAGTTCTAAGTGGGAGACAACAGACCAGAGGAAAGGCAGCTCTGCACTATTGTCCCCATTGGTGAGGAGCTCCAGCTGGTCCTTTAAACAATTTGCGGCTGATGAAAACCCAGCTCAGCTGGTGCAGGGAGGAGCAAGTGTGAGCCAACATAGTCTGCAGGCAGGCTCCTCAGATGAAACATAAAATGCACAGAAAAATGAAATCACAACACAAAAAGGCTCCAGCCGTAACACTTCCCCCCATAAAGCCTAAGGTCTACACCTTTGGGTACAAAAAACAAAACAACAAACACTGCTACATCTCATTCTCCAGGTTGGGCTAAACCAAAATCTTTTCTGTGCCTTTGCTGCTTGTCATCTTACTTAATAAGTGGCCAAAGCACGGAATTTGTAAAGCGAAGGTCTCTGTACACTACTCACGGATAAATCATAATGGTTTCTTTTTATTTTTCCTCTTTATTTTGGCTGGTCCACAAAACCCAGCATCAAACACGGGCGGCTCAGGCTCAGCAGCACGTCTGTCCATTTCACAGGAGCCTGTGTTTTTGTTTCCTGCAATGAGACCTTTAGGAGTAGAAACTGACATGTTTTCTACTCCCTTAGCTTGAGGTTTTGACCAGGCAGGTGGAACCACCAAGTCCCCGGCGATGTCATTTCCCAACAGGAGAACGACGCCATCCACTGGTAGGGAGCGACAGACAGCAATGTTAAAATATCCTGTGACGAGATCAGATGTTAAAAACACACGATGGACAGGCCTCTGAAAGGACGGGGGCGCAATCCCTTTAACAACTACTTTAAAACCACAAGCTCTTCTTCCAGAAAAGGGTAATGCCGAACTCAGAATGAGAGAATGAGATGCCCCAGTGTCCCTCAGGATTTTTATCGGTACAGGCCTATCATCAGCCGACAATGAAACAAATCCAGAAAATACAAATGGCTTAGAACAGGATCCCACATCCCGTTCCCCAACAGTAACATGGGCTGAACAGGTAAAAACCTCAACATTGTCAGGCTGTTCTTGTCTTACATTCTTGGCCTGGAGAATGGGACAGTCCTTTATGACATGACCAGGCTTGTGACAATAAAAACACAGAGCAGGTTCAGGAACGACATTCGTTATGTCTGCCTCAGCAGGCGGCCCAGGTGAGGGTCTTCTGTTGGGATCAAAGTTCACCCTGTGAGTTAACACAAACTCATCTGCGAGCTGCGCTGCAGCAGACAATGACGTCACCTTCTGCTCGTTTACATACTGAACCACTTTATCAGGGATGCAGCGTTTAAATTCCTCAAGGAGCAGGAGCTCACGCAAAGTAGCAAAGTCTTTTACCTTGGAGGAATTACACCATTTATCGAATAGAACCGTTTTTACTCGAGCAAAGTCTATGTGTGTCTGTGCAGAGTTTTTCCTGGAAAGTCTGAATTTCTGGCGATAGGCTTCTGGCACCAACTCATATGCCTGTAAAACTGCAGTTTTAACGGTGTCATAATTATTGCTATCCGAGACAGAGAGAGTGGCTACAACCTCGGAGGCTTTACCTGTGAATCTGCACTGCAGCAGAAGAGGCCACACATCCCGCGGCCAATTAAGCGCCGTTGCGATGCGTTCAAACGCAGAGAAGTAGCAGTCAACCTCAGATTCCCTGAAAACAGGCATCAACGCCATGCAGTTACTGATATTAAAAGAGTCTTGCGGTGGGGAACTCACCGGAGATGTCTCTTTCTCAGCCTTCACAGCCTCGTGTTCAAGTTCAAGTTTGCGGAGCCGCAATTTTGTATCAGCTTCCAGTTCCAGCTTTCTCATCTCAAACTCCAGCTGTCTGCGCTGGGCTCTGTCCTCAGCGTCCAAACGGAGTTGCTCAATCCTCAGCCTGAATTCGGCTGGAGTCACGTCCTCATCAGAGTCAGCCGGGTCGGCGTCTCCAGCAGCTGTAACCAGTCTGTCTCTGTCATCAGGTGCTGCAGGGCTGACAGGGGGCGGGGTCGCCAGGGGAGGTTCAGCATGTACACGGGCCTCCGCAGGCGAGGCAGCCTGTTGCCGAGTAAGCAGGCCCAAGTCCTCCAAGCCACTGATTACCACCTCCTGCAGCTCCACCTTTAACATTGAGCTGTCCACCTGAAATCCAAAGTGATCCGCCACGTCCAGCAGATCCCGCTTGCGACAGGCACCAATCAGTCCACGGGATGGGGCCTCCACAAACTGCGCTAAATCAAAAGTAGCCATAACTGGTAAAACACTGATACACACAAATGATCACGCATCCAACCTCAGTTTAGGGGTACTTAATGATCCCGGACGAGCCCCCATATGTTACAACCAGGTGTCTAGGGGGCCTGGGGTAACATGGAGGACGCGTGACACAAAGGAAAATTAACAAAGGTTTTATTTACTTTCTCTTAATTCAGAAAAGATGACTATTATTCTTTTAACCACCACGGATCTAAATCCACTTTTACCAAAACAGGTTCAAACAGTAAGAGCACAATACCGAAGTTCTAAGTGGGAGACAACAGACCAGAGGAAAGGCAGCTCTGCACTATTGTCCCCATTGGTGAGGAGCTCCAGCTGGTCCTTTAAACAATTTGCGGCTGATGAAAACCCAGCTCAGCTGGTGCAGGGAGGAGCAAGTGTGAGCCAACATAGTCTGCAGGCAGGCTCCTCAGATGAAACATAAAATGCACAGAAAAATGAAATCACAACACAAAAAGGCTCCAGCCGTAACAGATCCTTTTGAAGAAAGGTAAATATGTTCATGAGAAGTCTTGCTATATATGCAGGAAATTACTGCTGTAATATGTGTAAAAAAGATAAAAACACAATAGTTCAGCAAATATATGTCATTATATATATTTATGTTGTGAAGTGTCAATTCACAGCAGATTGTTGTTATTTGCAGAAAGAATTAATGACAGATGTATTAGGCTCCATATTTATCTCTTTAGAATCAGTACCATTTCAGGTAAGTTCCAGTATTTATCTTTACGTACAACAAATATTATTGTGTTGTCTGTAGTTTCAAATCCATGGATCTAGCTACGGATGCAGTCCAAATTGATGAGGACCAAGCAAACGACTTACTCAACAGTGTGTGAGTTGCAATGTCTTCTTATCTAGGGGTGGGCAATATAAACGATATAAGGTAGAAATGATATAAAATTGGGTAATTTTACGGCCCCCAGCTCATCTAGGAGATGATGTTAAAGGGGGCGTAAAGAAAGATATGTGAATTACCGGACAAAACCAAGATTTACTCTCTTAGAGGAGTTTATTAACTAAAAAACACTGCTTTATGCAGGCTAAGACAAAATGAATACAAAACCAAAAGGACGTCCCACTGGGGAATTAACAATACTAAACAGAAGGATCATCCAATACAGGGTAAATAACAATACTATTAATAAACACAAAACGCCGGTACTAATCCGGGAAAGTAAAGGAATGAGACAAACACAAAAGGCTACACCAAAAGGGTGAGCTGAACTCTTTAACGAGTATTCTAATGGAGACAAAAACGAGCTCTGGCTACTAGGAAGTGTACCACACAGGTAATCAAAATGAAGACTTTAACGTCTGGTTTGCTAGGAGGGAAAAAGAGGAACACTCGCTTTAACACCAGGCCTCTGCTAAGCTTCCCTCCTCGAATGACAGAGGGAGCTGCCTTTTATAGGAAGCTCCCTGACTGAGAAGATTAGCGACACCTGGCTCAGCTAGAGCCAGGTGAACAGGTAGGAGCTCTGAGGCCACCTTGTGGCCACAAAACAGACAACGTCTGTAACAGGTAATGATAGTTTTTGGCTATATCGCAATACGGCGATATTGTGATAACACATGACGTCACTAAGATGTGCACCCTGCTGACAATGGGACAACAGAATGGCGGTGACTGCAAGCATGGAGTGGGCGGAGGAGGAGGCCTATATGCCTCAAGTGGCATATATTTGCCACATGAGGATATCTAAAAGCATGTCAATTTGACATCTATAAACAGATGAAAAAATATATCGCAATATATATCGTTACTGCACATGCTTCAGATTATATCGCAATATAGATTTGAGGCCATATTTCCCAGCCCTATTCTTATCTACACTCTTTTTTTAAACTCCAAAGTCTTAAAACAATATATTAATTCAACTTTTATTTATTGTTTTCATAACAGAATAGAACTGTTATGAAAACTTTGTCAGGCTGACGAAGTTTGCAGCCGCAAACAAAACGTTGCAGGTAAATAAAACCCTTCTATGTTTTAAAAAGAACTAAAAGATGGAATTGTTGTTTTATCCTTGTTCACAGGCTGGGATCCTAAAGGGAATTTCCATCCTACTTGTGTGGCTGAATGACATCTTCAACCAATTTTGGTACATTTGTCAGAAAGCACAACATCGTGATATGTTTAATGTAAGTATTGTGACATCTTTTGGACAACAAGACAACAATGCACATTGACATAATTACCTTTCTTTTCATAATAGTGCCAGCTCTCGTGTTTCTGTTTGTGAGCGCTTCTGTCACATGTAAAGTTTTCAAATAAAACTTATTTTTTCTGTTAGGACATGTGGGTGGGTGTGCTTCACCATGTCACAGGGAAGCATGAATGGACCCATGGCAAATGTGACCATGGACCACTTGATGCAACGTGGCATGGTGCCAGGATCTCCACCACACAAGGCTCTTCAACGAATCATGTTCAACAGACACTGGTTGAAGGATGCCACCAATCTGACCTTTAGGTATATTAATAACATTTTCATAAGCAAAAAAGCTAAAGTGTCAATATCAAAGCTGAAAATTTACGTATAGAAATGACAATTGTGGGTGAAAAGGCAATCAAAAGTGTGATTCCTAATAATCTATAAAGTTGTAGCTTTTGTTTTTTTACAGGTCAACTTCAGAACTCGAGAGTTTCCAGAATTGCATTCTCATGAAATCTATGTATGATCTAATGCTGCTGTTCTCCTCTCCATAAAGGCCCCAGCTACGTGAAGCATCAAAAGACAGGAATGACTTCTTTCATGCACACAGATTTATTAGAAATTAAGAAAACATACTATGTACAAATGCAAATAACAGAACTTTTTTGTACATAAATAAAAATAAATATATTGCACAAACTGTTTGTTTATTTTTGGGTGAAAATGCTGTCTTCAGCTAAAGTTATTTTGAGGTATTGTGCTGTTTTGGAACTACTGTAGTTGTAGATAAACGGTTTGGATTTTTGGGTTAGGGTGCCCTCATTCAGGAAGACGGTGTCCTGGCGTCTCTTGCCGAAACTCCAGGATATCCAGCATCACCCCTGGAAGACGGGTCACCACTCTCTCAAGAATATAATCTCTCTCCTCCTGGCTCAGGTGTTGTAAAGCTGTCTAGAAATTAAAGAGCATATGTTTACATGACTAGATTCATATCTCCAGTGAGTGATGTTTTCGTTTTTGGCATCTATTATTTTATTTTTTTACACAAATGGCTACAACCAACCTGCATCTCAGCTATACTGGCAGCTCTCAGCTGTGCAAGCCGGTCTCGGTCCTCTTCTTTGAAAGCTGTTCGCTGCCTACCCCGGCGCCCTGGTCCTCTTGAAGGAGCTCTGGACCTCAACCTGCTGCCCTCACCCCTTGAGCGTGTCCTTCCCCGACCCTCGGAGCGACCTTTTCCTCTCCCCTTTCCTTTAGCCCCTGGTCTCAGACTTTCCCACGACACATCAAAGTCTGTGGCAGGCTCGGGCACACTCCATCTGAACTGTCTTCCATCACTGCTTCCAATATGAATTCCTGAAAATCAATGACAGTAATGATAAAAATGACTATTGCCCTGTAGGTCTTGTTGATATTATGATTTTATTTTGATGCATTTTTTGAACTAAACATTGATATTTATGTTCTTATTTACATTGTTGTGATGCCTGTCCTGTAATGAAATTGGTTTCACAAATGATGTCAGTGACTTGAAATTGGATGTTCTTACATGATGTATAAACAATAACATTAGCTTGTTAGTAAGCTTAGTGCAAAATAATAACTGTAATTGGTCTAAAAACATCAGAAATCACCTGCAGCCACAAAGCCTTATGCTGATAAAGTAGCATCATGTTACTGTCTTGCTAACCAGTCACAAAACTGGCTTACGAATATTTCATAGGAAGGAGCACTTGCTTTACATCACGAGTGTCATGGCTAAATTAAAATGCTAATGTCATGGAACTTTACAAATATTAGACTAAAGTAACAATGTTACTTACTTCATCGCTCGACACGGTGTCTTGTTCGAGCCGCGCTCTGGCCGTACATCACTGTAACTTTTTTTTTTTCTTGTGCCGGGCTGCAGTTACTCACAGCGCCGAGTGCGTCGCTAATGAGTTTCGTTTCTTCATCCTGCCCCATGCTCCTTTAACCAAGAAACTACTTCTCAATAACTAGTTTTTCTCTTTTCTCATTTTAGCCCTTTTTACAAGACACACCATGTCGGCAAATTGGCGTAATATTACCGCAATGGTATGTCTATAAACACGCCATGCCGGCATGGCGTTTCGCGAATTTTGCGGCATTCGTTCCGCCCCGCTTGGTAGTAATATTGCGGTAATGGTCTGTCGTTTTTTTTTTTTTTGTTTGTTTTAATTCAAATCCTTCAATCAAACAGTCAGACATACAAATATGGCAAATAATAATATAAAAAAGATGTAATACATACACAAGAGAGTAAAAGGCAAATAAACAAAATAAATAAACAGAAATGAAGTAAACACAAGAGTAATTAAACAAGTACATTAAACAGCGTACAAGTATTCAGAGTTTTAACTGCTTTTTTGTTCTGTACACAAGAAATGGTGGATATATACTGTTCCAGTTCTGCTCTTAGCACAGGAAAAAATGGCTTTTTATTACAGAGTTTAGATTTATGGATATGGAACTTAGCAACAAATAAAATCAAGTTTATCAGAAAGAGTGCATCGTTATCTTTACCACTGCCTCCAAAACAACCAAAAATGACATTTTTATAGAACAGGGAGAAATCAGGAAGAATGTTGTGAGTTAAGAATGAATTGACATCTTTCCAAAACTTGTAAGTAAACTCACACGACCAGAATAAATGTGAAGTAGTTTCAGGGTGTACGTTGCAAAATGAACACTTTACATCAATATCCTTCTTGAACCTACTCAAACATACCTTCGTGGGGTAAAACCTGTGTAGAATTTTAAAAGAGATTTCTTTAATTTTGTTGGTCAAAAGAAACTTCTGTGGCAGGGACCAGACTTTTCCCCAGTCTACGTTATGTCCAAACTTGTCCCAATAGACAGTTGCAGGTGAAATAGAGACCAAGTCAGCCTGAAATAAAGATCTAATTTTGGAGTTCGATGTTCTATAGGTAGAAAAACAGACTTTGCCTAGTGGAAGCAGAGTTAGATCCAAAGGTGATGCTGATAACGGAGGACAGACACAAGCCGTCTTAAATAACATACGAAGACCTGAGGGCACAGCATCAAATACTATAGAAAATTCCTTTGGGCTTATTGGAATTTTATATTTGGAAAGAAATTCTGAATAACTATATAGCAGTCCATTCTCATTAAAGAGCTGACTGACTAGTATAATACCTTTGTTGAACCATTTTTCATAAAAAAGAGACTTGTTCTTATAGACAATATTATAGTTGTTCCAGATATAACATCTCTGTGGAGAGAAGTTGTGCTTGTAAAGCATTGCCCATGCTAAAAAAACCTGTTGGTGAAAGTTGGAGAGTTTAATTGGAATTTTCTGTATTTTGTAATTACAGAGCAGAATAAATTTTAGGCCACCTAATTGTGAAAAGACATGATGAGGAATGAAATTCCATATGGAAGTAGGGTTTTTGAGATAATGCTTGATCCAATTTATTTTAAATGTATTATTGAGGGAGCTAAAGTCTATAAAATTTAAGCCCCCTTTGTTGTATGAATTTAAAACTACAGACTTACGGATGTAATGAGTTTTTCCTCTCCAGAGAAATTTAAATAACATCTTGTCTACAGATTTACAGAAGGAGTTATCTACGTGTAACGATTGAGCAGCATAAGTTAAACGAGAAATGCCTTCCGCTTTGGTGATCAGAACTCTGCCTTTTAGAGAAAGATCTCTTTGCGTCCATCGGTTGAAAACCTTCTGAGTTTTTTCAATGAGGGGAAGAAAGTTTAACTTCCCTCTGGCTTCTCTATCTTTAGTGATATGAAAGCCGAGATAAGTGACTGAGAGTTTTACAGGAATGTTACAGATTACAGGAGCAGAGCAATTATGAACTGGAAGCAGTTCACATTTGTTCAGATTAAGGATGAGGCCAGAAGCTTTGGAAAAACTACTAATAAAGTTAAGTGCAACTGAAACCTGTGATGCATCTGCCAGAAACAGAGCTGTGTCATCTGCCAACTGACTAATTAAAATATGATTATTAGCGATACTAATGCCTTTAATGTTACTGTGTTTAATGTGCAGATTAAGAAGTTGGGCAGCAAGAAGAAACAGATAAACAGAGAGGGGGCACCCTTGCCGTACTCCCCGCTTTAAATCAAACCTTGGGGATGTGCCATTGCTTAATTTGATAGAACTATTTCCATTATTGTACAAAGTTTGGACAGATTTACAAAAGAACTGACCAAAACCAAACTTTTTTAGGGCTTCCATTATAAAATCATGCTCCAGGGAGTCAAAAGCCTTATAGAAGTCCAAGAAAAGGACGAAGCTATCGTCATGAACTAACTCAGAATAATCTAATAAATCTAATATCAATCTAACATTATTTGAAATATGTCTATTACGCATAAACCCCGACTGACTTTCATCAATAATAGAGTCAAGCACTGATTTCAGCCTCTTAGCAAGTACCATCGCAAAGATCTTATAGTCATTGTTCAGTAAAGAAATAGGTCGCCAGTTGTCCAGTAGGAGGCAGTCTTTCTTTGGTTTAGGAATGAGAGCAATTAATCCTTGAGTTAATGTAGGAGGTAAGGAGCCTTTGAAAACACTCTCAGCAAAAACTTCCTTTAAAAATGGAGCTAGGCTCTGAGAAAATTGATTGTAAAATTCTGCAGTAAAGCCATCCATTCCAGGTGATTTGTTTATTTTTAGCTGGTTAATAGCATTAGTAATTTCCTTCAGTGAAATAGAGGCATCACAAAATTCGGAGTCAGCTTCAGAAATCTGATTAATATTAGGGACAGAATTAAAAAAGGTAGAAGCTTCCTGAGAGCAATATCTTGAGCTGTAAAGATCACTATAAAACTTGGCGCAATACTGAGAAATTTTTTTTGGGTCATCAATGATTGTTCCATCAATTTTTAATTGCTGAATGGAGTTAATTCTAGATTGCTGCTTTTCTAGGCTAAAGAAATATGCAGAGTTCTGCTCGCCCTCTTCGAGCCACTTGCGGCGAGATCTAACAAAGGCACCTTGCGCTTTGTGTTTATATATCTCATCTAACTTGAGCTGCTGATTGGTAAGCTCCAACTGTTCTGACTCAGTGAGTGCATCTAATGACTTAGAAGTTAGGAATGCAATTTTAAGTATAGTGTCGTTTTCCTCTAATCTCCTTTTTTTAGCTAAATCACTACTATATTTTCTAAGGAATTTTGCAATTTCGTACTTCAATAACTCCCAGTTAATGCTAAAGAGATTTTCATTTTGAGCTTTGTCCCAATATAGTCGAATGAAACGCTCAATCTTAGAGGTCACTTCCTTGTGTTTAAGGACTGTACTGTTTAATTTCCAATAAGAGGTTTTAGGAGGACCAAGAGAAATAGAAGGAATGATAATTTGAATAGTCTTATGATCAGATAGGGGTGCTGGTAAAATATTTGTAATCACATTTTTCAAATCCTTGGATATAAGCCAGAGATCAATGCGAGACTGCTTTGATAAAGTTTTGTTGCTCCATGTATATGATCTCTGTAGCGGGTGAGTATCTCTCCATGTATCAGTTAAATCAAAGCTTTGTAAGAATGTCTTCACATAAATATTAGGTGAGCCTTCATTCCTTGAAGGCAGCCTATCCAGGCGATTACTTAACACAGTATTAAAATCCCCGCCTAAAACTATAGAAGCTTTCGGGTATTTAGATAACCAGTAAAGGAGACGTTCTTTCAAATTATCAAAAAAAACCATGTTCTCTGCTTGCGAATTGAAGCCATAAGCATTAACTGTAATATAACTTACACCGGCAACCTCTAGGACTAGCAATATGTAACGACCGGTTTTGTCACATTCAGAATTTAAAACTTTTCCACTAAAGCGGTTTTTCAAAATACAAACACCGGCTGAACGCTCCGACCCATGAGACAGCCACAGGTCGCCCCCCCACTGTGATTTCCAGAAGTTGGTGTCCTGTTCAATTGAATGTGTTTCCTGTACAAAACAAAAGTCAGTATTAAGTTGTTTGCAGTATAAGAATATAGCCTTTCGTTTTAGATGGTTTCTCAAACCTCTTGTGTTTAAAGAGATAATAGACAAAGACATAAGGAAAATAAACAAAGTACAATAACAAGACCAGAAAAACTAGCACGTATGCGAAAATAGATAAAGGTCTCAACAAAGCACCAACCTGAGTCTGAGAACAGCAAACCTTATAAAAAATTGTGAACATGTGCTACCAAATTCAAACAGGCTGTAAACATTACAAAAATGTCGCTTAGCTAGGAAAGTCTATTCAGCGTCTCAGGGAGGAAGAATTTCCTTTCCGCCCACAAAGGCGCGACCACCTACATAGAAAGCCAGCTTGCCATCTTTCCGCGCCTGGTCAACAAGGGGCCACAGCTTCCTCCTTTTCTCTCTGTCCTCTTCTGACAAGTCCTCCGCCAGTTTCAAGCTCTTGCTCTTCAGGAAAGTGGAGTTTTTGGCAGAGCGCCACACAGCATCACGGAAGTACCTGGAGATAAAACGTATGACGACTCCTCTTGGTTGATTAGCACCGGGCTTCCTAGGGCCAAGGCGGTGAACGACATCAATGGCATCCGGAAGCTTGGTTTTGGCCTCAGGGAGCAGACCCTGGCATATGTGAATAATCTCTCGTCGTAGATCCTGCTGATCCTTCTCTTCTAAGCCATGGAGCTTGAGATTCCAGCGTCGGGAGTAAGCCTCGAGCTGAGAGACACGCTGCTCTGTCTTATCAGAATTAACTTTGCAATCTTTAAATAGAATTTCGCAGCGGTCAACTCTCCCTTTTAGTTCTTTTACTTCAACACAAAGAGTATTAAAGGATTCTTTAACATCCGCAATTTGCTTGGTGTTTTCTGTGACTGCCAGCTTCACTTCTGCAATCACTGCGGAGTTGTCACTCACCAACTTTTCCAATGCATCTGACCTGTTGTTTATCAGCTGTGTGAGGGAGAAAAGCTGGGAGAGGATTGCATCCGTTGTCGAGTCTTCCACTCGTCTCCATTTAGGCGCAGGCGAGTTGACCGGGGTGACAGGGAGAGGCGGAAAACTATCTTCCAGTAACGAGACCTTCGGTGGATCCGCATCTGACTCGAGATAGTCATGCATATTGTCAATTAGCATGTTGTTGGTCTCCGGCAGCTCAGCGGGAGCTAGCATAGCAGCCTTGTTAGTAGAGCACGTGCTGATCAGCACCTTCTTTACATCACTCTTCCTCTTCTCCTGGGGTTTCATCTTACCAGCAGACGTAGCCATAGTGCAGCCAAACAGACGCGACAGATAACTAAAGGCGAAAGTTCAGTTTGTTCACTCTCTAACTATATAGAAAACAGTTCGGTTTGCGGAGCTCAGCGACGCACGTCCACTCAGAGCGCCATCTTGGTCGACCCCCGGTAATGGTCTGTCGTATGTGCCCTGGCGCAACAGAGACAGATGTCATGATGACGTGGGGAGTTATTGCTGAGCTCCGGCTGGCAAATTAATTGAAAATGAAAGTAAACACAGGCAATAAAGTTTGCCTTTTGAACAAAATCAGCTGAGATAGCAAACTGGAGCGCCGCAGTGCTCGATGAGCCTCTCTGTTAAAGCTGAAGCTCAGATCACCAGAGACTGCACAGGGGCTGATGGGGACAGACACCTTTAGGAGCTGCTTGTTAAAAAAAACTTAACGATCACGGCTTCAATCGCAATAAAAAGCAAGTTATGTCCAAGATAAAGGGAAGTCTGTGGCAGCGCAGAGACTGCCCGCATGCCCCCTTTATGCCGCAATCACCTAATCTTTTATAAAATTGTCATGATTGCGCCACATTACGGCCACGGTCTGATCTTATAAACGACCTTTATCCTCCCCAGGGAGCCGTGGCAAATCCCGTTTTGCAAACGCTATGGTCCTGTAAAAACAGCTATGGAAAGTTCTACCAGTGTTTCTCCTGGGTGGGGGGGTTGATCTTTGCGAGCGGAGCGCTTCCCTTCCGTGCCTCTGTGTGTGGGTGGGGGGACCTCGTAGTTGTGGCACTGAAATTTCTGTCTGAATCTATGTAGGGGAAACACTGGCTACTACTAGTTTTCCTGTTGAAATAATTATAGATTCACCAGGATAAATATAATAAAGTTTATAAGAAATCACAATGTAACCGTAGAAACACTACTTTGTGTGTGTGTGTGTGTGTGTGTGTGTGTGTGTGTGTGTGTGTGTGTGTGTGTGTGTGTGTGTGTGTGTGTGTGTGTGTGTGTGTGTGTGTGTGTGTGTGTGTGTGTGTGTGTGTGTGTGTGTGTGCGAAACCACTCAAACCTGCTGGATACTGGACATCCAGGACCGGAATTGAATACCCCACTTTACTCATGCTGCAAAGCAAACCTTGGTCAAAATGACAATCCTCCCAACTTAGATTATGGTGACTTCATTTATAGGACTGCTACCTAAAAACTTCTTCATAAACTCGATGTCATTTATCACTCAGCAACCCGTTTGGTCACTGGTGCCCCTTTCACTACTCATCATTGTGATCTGTATTCACTCGTTAACTGGCCATCACTCCATTCCTGCAGGATGTTACATTGGTATCAGTTCATATACACAACAATCATCATATCTTCTCTCATCACTTCCAACAACCAGCATTATTTACGTTCCAGTAACTTCATCTGTATGGTCATTCCCAATGCTCGCATCTCCTTTGGCCGCCCTCATTCCAGTTTGCTGCTTCCAACGACTGGAATGAGCTGCAGAACCACTGAAGCTCACTACCTACATTCCATTATCTACCTTCAATAATTCACGGTGATCAATAATTTCTGATCAGTGTTCCTGCTTCTGAGTATTAAAGACTGTTTTAAGCCTGTTCTGACTGCTAGTACATATTATATATGAGAACAGTCCTTTGTCTTTATGTCTAACCGTTTTATCTGATTTTATCTTATCTGTTGTTCTTTGGTGTAAAGCTAACGATGTGTCTGTTGCTGCTGCTTCTTGGCCAGATTGTAGTTGTGAATGAGAATGAGTTCTCAGTCGACTCATCTGGATAAATAAAGGTTGAACAAACATTTTCTATGGTGTTAAGGTCAGGCCAGTTTGCTGGAGAATCAATAATAGAGATAACATGGTCCTTAATCCAGGTACTGGTAGCTTTGGCACTGTGTGCAGGTGCCAAGTCCAAGTCCTGATATTTAACAAATTATTTTTGTCAGGAGATTTAAAATGGCATGCATACTAATATACAATCTCATAAGCAAACAAAAAAGTGCATGGATTAAAAATGATCAACAGCTACAACTAATCTGTAAAATGAAAAGCAAATGCACATAAAATACAAAACTGTGCTTTGTGTTTGTAATGTTTTGATTTGGCCTGAATTATTATTGCATAGACAGACACACACAGACCTTAGCATACCAAGTTATTCTTTACAGCAGCCTTTACGTCCCTCACCACAGCAGAGTCTTCAAGGCTGAGGGTGAAGGCCCCCTGCAGCAGCGCGAGAAGTGGCACCATGACAGATAGTTGGTTGCTTGTCTTCTGACATTGCAAGTTTAGCTTCCTTCATTGGTTTCATGACCCGCACCAAATCTTTGGTAATCGTTACAGCCTCCTCTGTTAATCAAATATAGGATGAAATCGATCCAAAATCGATTAGATTGATTTTTAATTACCCAGCCTTAGTTACTGATCATGGTGCCATTTTAAAAGTCTACAGCTGCATTAGAAACAGGAGAAATTAAATAAGTGACAACACCGACATCAAATAAACGACCTTCCCACCCACTGCATTCCACTGTGGAGACCATGGACAGCTTCTTCAGAGGCAGACTGTCACATGCCAGATGTAAAACAGAACGCTACCGTAGGTCATTCATCCCCTCTGCAGTAAGAGTGTAGAACTCCTCAGTTTAACTGGTACTGGCATTATCCTGGTACACAATACCACCAATGCAATACTCAGTATGTGTTCAATACCTGTCCAGGGTTTCCCCCCAGAAAATTGGCATAGCCCGGCGATAGCGTGAGAGCGAGGCAGTGGGGTGCTTGACATTGGTGTCAGCAATAGAAAAATGAATATTGGTCGACCTCTAATTTAAAGTGAAAGGTTCTTCTAGTAGGGCTGCACAATATTAGGAAAACCTGCGATATTCATATTGCGCATGCTGATATCGCGATAACGATATATTTCCGATATATTGTGCAGCCCTATCTCCTACTTAGAATTCAGTTTAGCTATTATGTTTATCTGGAGTGTTAATTTTTACTGAAAACAATAGCTTTGATTGGAAACACAGTCTGCCTAAAGTGTTTAAACAGATTGCCAGAGAGCCTAGCTGATGAATAACACTGACTAGCCAGCTAACTCTACTAAAACCTGTCCTGTGGGGACATTTCTACTTACTTTGTGCTTTTTTGTGAGACATCTCCTGATGTCCATGTCTGTGGAGGGATCAGACATGGACACAACTTATGATGACGATAGCACTGGCTTCTCTCCCAGCTTCAGCAAGCCTGCACTGATGGTGTTTTTTTTTAACTTTATTGAAAACCCATCAGTCACTTCCACCATTTGTGAAGCAGAGCAGCGTAAACAGGAAAACATGGAATGGACTTCAGTGGACTGAGTAGTTTCTAATGAACCAAGTGAAATAGACCTCTTTGAGAACAATCTAAAGAGCGCAAGGTAGACTAACTGTGTGTGTGTGGGGGGGGGGGGGATTCTAAAAAGTGGGGGAGGAGTCAAGTCCCCTTCTGACATAAATGTTGTGACGCCTATGGCCCACCCACATTCATCACTCAGACAACAAAACAGCATCCCCACTTGCTGAAGCAGCCTAGGACCACCCACAAAATCTGAACCCAGTTAGAGCCTCCTGCTGAGCCACTGGTTCTGAGCAGGTGAGCTCCTCTGACCCAGTCATCCACCTAGCGGGCTTATAACCTCACTCTGCTCATATTTACTGCTCCAGACCAATCAGCTTGAAGGATAACCCAACTTAACTGGTAGAGTACCCTTGTCAGTGGTCATATCGATTTGGCAGATTTGTATGTCTCATTGGACCAGGTCACAGTCACGATTATTTAATTTGTGTTTTAACGGAAAGGTTTGATGTTTCCCTGTGAAGAAGAGGAGGAGATGATGAGGGAGGAGAACACAGAGGAGCTGGAGGTGCTGGAGGCTCAGATCAAGCATCTGCAGGCAGAAGTGAAAGGTTTGCATCAACAGCTACAGGAGGAGGACTGCAGAAACATCACCTTTAACTTTGAAGGACCCATGAAGGAAGCCCTGTGAGTTTAGGCTTCACATTCCTGTGTTTCCATCCAAGTTTCACGTCTGACCTGCTTGCCTGTACCCACAGGGCCTTTATGTGTGGACTGACAGAAGGTGAAGGGAAGGAGGTGGTGGTGTCCAAGCTGGAAGAGGAGGTGGAGCAGCTGGAGAGGAAAATAAAGCTGCAGATCCAGATTAATGGCATCAGTGTGACCCGCTGCATCACAAAGACTCTCGATCACAGTAGGACAGACCTGTTTCCTGACGTTTGACTGGAGATTAGTCACTGCTGGTTCAAGTCATTCCTAGTGGTTTAATGAACTTGTTTTACTTTAAAGTTCATACATGAGCTAAAGAAACACTTTTTATCATAAGACAGCAGTATGTGAACGTAATGAGTGTTTTGACTTGTGTCTGTTTGCCAGGTGGCAGGAAGGAGGTCCAGCTGTTCTGTATCTCAGGTCATTGCTCAGGCCTCGATTTTCAAGTAGAGTTTAAGCTGTCGGAGGTCCAGGTGGGTCATTTTAGTCCCTTCTGCTCTTTCCCCTGGTAGACTGTTTTCTCTGATTTTCCTGTCCTTTCTCCTTTACTGTGTGTGTGTGGTGTGGTAATTGTAAAAAAAAAAGCCTGGACACACACGCCAATCAACTACTTAGACACTCTCTTTGAACTGCAGATCTACACGAATTACAGTAGGTGTGCTTCCTTTACTGGAGCTTCAGGGTAAATGCAGCAGGGGGTTGACCGCGAGATCCGAAGGCTCGGTCCTCTTAGCTGTCGTGCCTCCATTTACAGTTTGTCCTGTAAGGAATTTGCTTACATGTCAGCACATCGGGACTGCTGCGTTGTGAGTCACGTCACTGATTGGCGCAAAACATGCAGAACGTATCAAAAGCAGTGAAATATTAATCACTTCTGAACAAGTTACAACCAATCGGCAGTGTTCCCGCCCACAACAGCCCGGTCATGTGGAGACACGCGCATGTCGAGAGGTTCCTGTAAATCTACCCTGACATTCTGGTAATGGAAACACACCTAGTGAGTGCACTGAACAAGGCCATTCTGGACTCCATCAGACAAATGTTTAATTTTCCTGTGAGAAGCTGATATTTATTAATCGTAAACACACACACACACCCCTGAAGAGAGATCTGACATTCAACCTCCTGTTGTGTGTGGTAACTTTCTCAGACCTGCTAGAAAGACGTAGTCTCTGATAACGTGTTACTCCCTCATCCTACCCCACCCAGAAATCAGAGCTTCTCTTCTCCAGGGGCAGACCGAAGCCTAATTTATTCTTTTCCGTCTGAGTCGGTGCAAGGGCTCTCCGACTGGCAAGCAGAAGGTGACAGAGGCCACAAGCTTGTGATTGGTCAGGACACCACTTCCTATAAATTCGTCAACGGCGCCACCTTTGCCCCCTCGTAAAGTTAAATGATATTCATTAGCAGACGTGGAACAGATTGAAGAACCGCAGAAAAAGTCTGAAAATATGAACATTTATTCACCCGTGACGGAAGGAGATATGCAGCAAGCGTTTTGTTTGTGGATGATAAAGATGAGGAACGTGGGTTTAGAGGTGCCGATCGCATGATGAGGTGGATGGGGGACAAATGTGTCCCTGTTAAGTCTCTGAAATACATTAAAGCCATTTAAACACAGTGTTCTAAAATAAAATGTTTTATTTTATTTTAATTACCTTAAAAGACTCAAAGTCTCTTTTTACACTTTATATTTATTTAATCAGGATCGTTGTCAAGTCGACGCCAGAAACAATGAAACACAACTTGAATATCAGATGAACAACAAGGCTTTATTCAACCGGCATTCATACAAGTTATCAATCATGAACGAAACATTTCTCTTACCGTTGCTTATGGGTGGAGAGCTGAACACCCCAGTTAGAAAACGTAATCCATGATAGGTGAAGAACTGAACACATGTAATCCATGAACCTCGTCAGGTAGAATCCTTCAAGCAGCTCTAACCCCCCTGAGCCCTGCTCTGCTCCTTATACATTCCCTGATGTGCGTGCAAAGCTGCACACCTCCACCATGATTACCTTGATTACATCCTCATGATCACATTATGTTCGGCTCTACCATGATTACCCTTGATTACATCCTCATGATAAGTGTGATTGACAAACAGTAGTGATCAATAACTTATATAAAGCAATTATACAACAGATGACAAGTTCATTTTTATTACATTCCACTCTTGAACTTTTCATCTAATTTATGTAACATATCCATCACCATTTCCCCATCAAAACCAACGTCATTTATAACATACCTTGTAGTTCCACTTTAATTTTCATCGTAGTCTTTGCATTATTACCCAATTTATTTCTCTTCTTAATCGAATAACATACCAACAAATAATAAGATTACACAATGTTAGAATGCTGATTATAATTAATGCTGCAATCATAGGTGGAATTAGCACTTTATTAGCGGTACTCGACATGCCTGTAAATATATCCCACCAATGATGAGCGGAAGCCTGTTCAATCAATGTAGCAACATGTTTTATTTCCCCTTGTGCCACAAGAGTAGACACCATGAGCCTGGAAAGGTTGGACCTATGAGAGTCGATCAATTTTGCCACTTCAGTGGAACCATCCAATGCGCATTTGAATCGTTCCAGTGAGAGTGTCCAAGGGGAGTGTAAAACCTCCCATTGTATCTTAGTCAGCCGACTAGATACAGTGTAATTACTCAACCAATAGGTCACGTTATTCCATTCCCACATATGTATACCCTTGAGACAACCTGAAAAGGGAACTGAAGGTACCTGTGGGGAATTGGTCATTGTAGCCACGCATAAGGTGTTAGGACCCACCTGCCAAAACTGTTCCTCTGGGGGTGTGACCGTCCAATCACAGAGTACGACCCTTGAATCAGTGAAACATGGATTGCTATGTCCTTTTACCAATGGGCAGGCTAAACCCTTATCAGTCTCATCACAGTGTTTTACTTCATATGTTCGATTTGTTTTAACATCCCACCACTCTCCACTAACATGGAGATACCAAAACCCTTTAGTGGTTATCACCGGCAGTATCTGATATCTACACACAGTCATTACTGATGTCATATTATACTGATCCCAGTATCCAGTACACATAGATTTATTACAAATCGTCATTTCTGCATGTGGCTGTAGCCATAATGAACTACTGATGTTCCATAATGTTCGCCATGCATGATAGTTATTACTCATTACCTGTATTTGAAACCTATTTCTTTGTGTCTCAGCATGAATAGTCTGCAAGGAACAGACTGTCCAATTACCTATGTGTGACAAATTATGCAATGCATCATAAGTTTCATTCCAAAGCTTTAGATTCCATTTAAATACACTTTTCCACACATCACTTCCTTCTAACTGACTAGATACAGTCGAAGGCATCCATCTTGCAGTCTTGGTGACAGCTTGTGCGGTGTATTCTCCAGTGTTGGACAGCATAGTTCGTGTTACCTCATTGTCTGCTGTGTTAGCCAGACCATACAAAGTTCCAGTTCCTCCTAGCACGGTGTCATACCATGCTCGCCTCCTCCTGTTGCAAGGCGGAATAGGAGGGAATTTCACAGTCCATCGCACATATTCGGCTACCCTTATTTGTCCCATTTGTTGACAAGTGTGAACCAGGGGAGCTACAGCTGTCTGCGTAGCTCTAGCTGTGTCGGGCAGCACCCAGAATATGTACAAATAGGCGTGTCCTCCTGTGATTACAGTTCCATTCCTGATCCAGAAATCGTGATCAACCTTCATACTCCAATTTGTGCCATTTTGTATGCAAGTACCATTCCCCTGATGGTATGCACAGATGCGCGCTGCAGAATTAAAGGTTACTGTTGATCCTTGAACCAACACCCCCGGGCTGATCACCCTTCCTCGGAATTTAAGACATCCTCTGCACCGGTACATCTTACCGGTAGATGTTAGGTTTCCCAAGTAGCAAGCGTCATTTGCTCTGCATGTGAATGTGCCTTGAGTGCGGTTGGACATACTGCTAACCAATTCCAGATGGCCCATGACCCCTTCTTCCAACACTTGTCCTTCCGTGAGCCCCCAACAGAAATGTGCCCTCAGTGCGATGACAGCGAGGACATGGAGGACGATGACCAAACATCCGACACCACCAGGTCCGCGGAGCCCATCCATCGCCTCGACAAGGGTTCAATCCTTTTGTAGGGGAAGGGGACCCAGTCAACCACCGTCACTCAGACATCCGCCTATGGGATACATACAAAACTGCAGATAGAATGACAAGCATTAATTTTCTCTCCTGTAACATTTGTTTATCGGAATATTAATCCATTTTTCCTCTCCGGGGAACAATACACTTACCACAGCATCTTTTCCCTGTGCAATAATCTCTCCAGCTCTGGGAGGACCATTGAGCTGCTCCACCCACACTTTTGCCCCCGCAGTAAAGTCTGATGATCCAAACCCAGTTTCACCCCTCTGAGTGATAGTGGTAGGTTTAGTAATCTCTTCAACTTTGGACATTACACACCGTTTGATTACTAACTGAGCTATCTTGTCTCCTTTTTCCAGTACCAACGGTTCTTTACCTGTATGCTGACACACCACACCTATTTCCCCTTGATAGTCTGAGTCTATTACCCCAGCTAAAATGGTTAGACCCCTCAAAGCTAAACCACTTCTTGGACACACATGAGCATAAGTTCCTGGTGGACATTGAATTCCCAATCCTGTTTTTACCACTGTCACTTTATTGGTTACTAAAGTGATGCTTTCCAAGATTTTAAGATCTAATCCCACAGAGCCCGCAGTTGCTCTAACAGGGAGTTCTGCCTCAGAAGTTAGTTTCCACATTCGTATAGGAGGGTCAGTAGAAGTTGTTTCCCTTCCTGCCCTGGCAACCATTAGCATCAGTGGAGTAACTCCATCCCCCACGGGTCTGTTATTTAACTGATGTACTGCCCTAGTCAGATTTTCTCTCCATTTGTCCAAAGAATTAGTAACCGATAGTTTCCTTAGTTTCTCTTTCAGTAACCCATTCATTCTCTCAATGAGTCCACTAGCTTTCGGGTGATATGCTACATGATAGATCCATTCTACCGCGTTGTTCTCTGCCCATTCTTTGATCTTATTTCCAGTGAAATGGGTACCATTATCAGTCTGAACCTGCAAAGGTAGTCCATAATAGGTCTCTATTAATGACAGACATTTCAATGTAGCCTCCTGATTGGCGTTATGACACGGATGCACCACCAGTACCCCTGACACCGTATCCACGGCTGTGCATGCATACTTACAGTTTTTACTTTTTGGCAATGGTCCAATGAAATCAATCTGCCAACACTGTCCCGCTTGTTTACCTCGATGTATCTGTCCCTGTATATGTCGAGGGATTCTCTTTTTCTGATGTTGACAAGGTTCACAATCTTCTATGGCAGTTTTAATATCATCAATGATGAGATCTATTCCTCTGTCCCTCGCCCATTTCAATGTTCCCTGCACACCCCAATGTCCAGCAGT